CATGGATCTTCCAAGTACTGCTACGTAAGGAACTGTTCGTTCAGGGGTTGATTGGACTGACATGTATTTTGCAAATTCCTGGTTTTTCCTTGCTTGCATGGATTAAATTCGTCTTCATAGGGAGTAAGTGTCATATCATATGATGCGGTCAGGAAACGATTGGGCTGACATAGTCTTGTGTTTTTTCAATTTCTACTGTTTCATGGCTTGTTTGGATTGAATCTTTCTTCAAAGGGAGTAAGTAGCATATGCAATGATGCGGTCAGGGAACGATAGGCTGACATGTATTTTGCAAATCCCTGGTTTTTCCTTGCTTACATGGATTAAATTCGTCTTTATAGCGCGTAAGTGTCATATCATATGATGCGCTCAGAGAATGATTGGCTGACATGTATTTTGCCGTTCGGGTCTTTGCTGGCATGCTCTGGATTGCGGCTGTTTTTTTTCTAGTGCTGCGTTTGCTACTACGACGATGAATCTGAAGATCGAAGGCAAGAACGCATGTGCCAGCACTGCAAGGATCGACGTTCCTGCGTGCACAACCTTGAGCAAGATCTTGTATCGTCAAGACCCAGTAGGCAGGACGCCATCGCCAAGATCGAGAAGGTCCGCGAGCACGTCAACAACGTGGGGAAGCCATTTGCCCAGAGACTGGACCTAGTCAAGTGCCACTATATCTTCGGGATGCAAGAGATAGATACCTCTGCTGTCGAAGACGTGAAGCAGCTCCTGTCGGGCGGGGAGCTTGGGAGCTGCTACAACAGCGAGGAAGGCACGCTCAACATGTCTTTGCGGACAGATAGGATGAAACGATATGTGATACGAGACCTGAGGATGAAGAGCCTGCCTCGCTGGATCTCCGAGCTCGGCGTCGCTTTTAAAGTCATCGACGTGTCCGGTAACCCCAGCCTCTCCCGCCTTCCCTTGGACGAGCTCTGCAGCATGGAGTCTAGCCTGCAGGAGGTCAAGTGTAAGAGCTGCGTCAGCCTGCAGCTGCCTCCCCCTGAGATCGCCAGTCAGGGAGGGGCAGCTGCTTTCACGTACCTGCAGAGTGTCAAGAGAGACAGCGAGGCGAACAAGCGGATCAACCTCATCCTCATAGGCAACGGAGAGGCAGGCAAGACGAGCGTGCTGAGAGCTCTGAGGTCAGACAAGGACAAGGCGGACAAGATCGAGGTAGACAGGAGGACGATCGGGATAGACCTGCACGAGTGGAAGCCTGATTACGCTGACGGGCTGACGTTTGACGTGATAGACTTCGGGGGGCAGCAGATCTACGCCAAGACCAACCAGTACTTCATCGTGAGGCGGGCCTTGTACCTGCTGGTTTGGAGCGTGAGGGTGAAGCGAGACAAAGAGAGCAAAGAGGATGGAGGGGGAGGCATGGAGGAGCTGAAGAAGATGATCTCGACATGGCTGCGAGCTACGCAAGCGCGAGTGCCGGGAGCGAGTGTGTTGCTCGTAGTAACGCACATCGATCTTGCCGGGGAGAGCGAGGTGACGGATCAGTGTGAGAAGGTGAAGGCATGTGTGGAAGAGGAGCTGAAGAAGATGGCAGAGGAGGAAGACGAGAACATCCTGCCGTTGCACGTTATCAATGGAGGCGAGAGCTTCCGGGTGAACTGTCTTGAGGGACAGGGAGTGAAGGAGCTGCGGCAATCTGTGTGCAAGACTGCAAAAGAGCTGCTGTGGTGGCAGGAAAAAATCCCTGGACCTTATCTGAGACTGAGAGAGGCTGTGGAGAAGCGTAAGTCAGAACCTGTCTCGTACGTCAAGGTAGAGGAGTACAAGGAGATGTTGAGAGAGTCAGGGGTCAACGAAAAGGAGCAAAAGGTGGCAACGAGCTTCTTGCACGACATGGGCGTGCTCAAGTACTTCGGTCATGAGCTGAGTGCGGATGAAAGCAAGAGAGACCAAGGCAAGTACTCCGTCGAGGACACGGTCTTTATCGATCCCGTGTGGATGATCGACGTGTTCAAGGGCGTGATGCGACATGACTGGGAGCACCTACTCGACTGCTTCCAGCAGGACCCAACCAAGTCCAAGAAGACGAAGAAGCTGCTACACCTGGGTATCATAGACGAGGACATGTTGGAGTACCTGTGGCCCCAGCAAGACAGCGACTTCTGGCGCAATGCGAAGACAGACAAGACATCAAGATCGGAAGAGGTAGGCTTCATCAAGCGCCATGTGGAGGTGCAGGAGGCGGTGGCTCTGCTTCGGGGCTGCGATCTGGCGCACTTCCTGGGCGTGGGGATGAAGGACTTGAAGGATACAGACAACAAGAGCAGAGAGCTGCTGTGTCCCGGCATCATCCCGTCGTTCACGCATGAGCACAAGCGGGCAGTGACGGACAAGGACAAGCAGTCTCTATGCGCATCTGTGGAGTGCGAGTACAACATCTTCCCCGCAGGCTTCATCGACAGGCTGGTCGTGCTGTGCGCTGCTCGACACTTTGAGGTAGACTGCAGCGGCTCTATGGCGGTGATGAAGGGCTGGGGCCGGACGCTGCTGGTGAGCTGGCGGGAAGACAATGACAAGCACGTGCTGAGAGCTGACGCGTCGACGAGGCAGCAGATCGAGAACTTGCAAGAGGACTTGAGGCGACTCGAGGCGTTCTTCCCGGGGATGAAGCGAAGGAGAAGCAACGAGGAGAGCTCAGGCAAGGAGGCCGTGCAGGTTGGGATCTTCACGCAAGGAGAGAGGTCAAGAGCATGTGGGCTGGATATTGAAAGAAAGGTGAAGGAGCTTTACGAGGCGGAGAACCTCCCTCTAGGTCTTACTTGTCAGATTCATCCATGTGACGAACGTGGAGATGCTGGTGATGAATGTCTCGTGAACATCTTGTGTATATCGACAGAGTGTGTTGATGAGCAGGGAGCCATGCAAGGAGAAAGTAGCTTCAGCAAGCCATGGAACAGATTGACAGCTAGCAAAGCAATTATCATCCCCGTCGTATTGACAGACTACTACGACAAGCACATCAAGCCGAGGAACAGGTTCAACGAGTGGTGGCCGCAGGAGATACAAGGGATGGAGCGATACAGGATCTTCCATCAGTACAAGAAGAAAGATGAAGTATCGAAAGACAAAGTATCCGAATATGAAAAATCTATGCGAACGTTGTACGACGGCATCATCAAGAAGCTTCATCAGGGACGGGGAAGCTTCGAAGACTTGTACGATGTCACCAGTCAGAACGAGCTTCTGTGCCAAGCTTGCTTGCATGATAGGTCTGAGTCTCAACCTGCCTCACAAGGCGTTAGAGCCGTGGGCAGGTTCGATCCGTCGGAGATCAAGGAAGCACTGGACAAAGAAACCAATGGTATGACAGACATGCAGCAAGAGCTGGAGCAAGAAGATGTCATCAAACAAACGATCATGATCAAAGCAATCACTTGCACAAGGGGTCATACGACAACCGTGAAGGAGGTGCTGGCTTTCAATGACTCGAGCTCCCCGTGTCCGTCGTGCTTGAAGGACAAGAGAGTCCCGCACTTCTTCAGCCGACCCACGTGCTTGAGCATGCTCGCTCGCGATCTAACGGCTAAGATTTACTGCAATCAATGTCAGAGGGAGATGGACGTGCTGGACGTCACGCCGCCTCAGGTGTTCTTGAGCTACAATTGGGGGCACGACAACTCGACGCAGAAGATGGTGAGGGAGGTGAAGCGGCGGATCGAAGAGCAGACGAGCCTGCAGTGCTGGTTCGACGTGGAGGGAGGGATCGACCACGGGGAAGATCACATGCAGAAGATGGAGCAGGGAGTGTCTCGCTGCGAGGTGTTTGTGGTCTTCATGAGCGACAAGTACGTTAAGAGCGGCAACTGCAGGAGGGAGTTTGCTCGGGCGTGTAAGGCAGGGAAGTACATCATCCCTGTCTTGGTGCCGGTGCTGTATGAAGCAAGTCCAGACTCAAAGGACTTGGAGTCAGAGTCAGGCTGGAAGGGCGACAAGGAGGGTGAAGACTGGTGGAAGAGAATTGCGGAGCTAGAGGAGACAAGTGAAGCTGCCAAAGAGGTCAAGGTCGACTGGGAGTTTCTCGCGTCATTCTCGAAGCCCTTGAAGATTGAAGCGAAGAGGGAGCAGCAAGAACAACAGCAGAAAGAGAAGGACCATGGTGGTTTGCATGTGTCAGGGCTGGAGGCGCTGGTGGCAGCAGTGCAAGCGAGGGTTTACCGGGGAGGCGTCGTATTTCACGAGGTTGCTTGTTTCCTTGTGGTTGACATGGCCTTGACATGCGTGGGCCAGGTGGAGCACCCGTTTCTCAGGTCGTTACATCGTCAAAAGCGCCTGCTCGACAGCATTCTTGATCGTATCAGCCGGCTGCAGTCAAAGATACTGTTAGGGATTGACAACCCTGATGATCTACCTTGACTCTGTGAACTTGAACCAACTTGCCATCTTCCGTTAAGCAAGCAAACAGAAACCTCAACACTACCGCGGTCGCTGAACGTTTAGAAAATTAGAAAAGATTTATGATCAAACCGACAGGATCAATGAGACTGAAGTATACGTGACCGCGTAAGGAATTAGAATTAGTCGAATTAAACTCACGCATCAATTGACGAAGAAATGGCGTCTTCAATTCACGGAAAGACAACCAAGAATTAGAAGCAGTACTATCATATCATAACCTTTCCATCTGATCAAGTATTGCACACGACGACCTTTCCCGTGACGTGCTTAGATACGATCCACTTCGTAAAGGTCCCAGGAATGTCCTGCATGGTTCCACAAAGTGAAGTGCTTGAAGAATAGTAGCAGTCGTAGCGATTATTCTGGCAATATGACAGTTGCAAGTAGTCGAAGCCTTAGGTTGACAATGTCGGCTCTATCCGGCTGGATGTAGTAGTAAACATCCCCAGGAATCACGATTGCTCCAGACAGTGACGTGTAAGTTTGACAACAATGGACATCTCTCAACTCGTTGTGCTTCGCAAGGTCTTGACCCTTAGAATCAAATCCTTGAGCCTTCTCCTGACCCACATCTTCCTTGCTCTTGTCAACTTTCTCCATGCCCTCAGGATCACTTCTGCTCTCCATCATCATCATCAACAACAACATCATCATCATGCTTCCTCTTTCCTCGCAGCCTTTACCGCACAGATTGCTGATGCTCTGCCGCCTTCTGCTTGACAGCTCTCCGAGCGCTCGTCTGCTCGCATGGCTCCCCGGCCAGCTGGATCTGCTTCAAGTTGTTGGGGGAGTACAGGGGCTCGAAGGAGTAGGTGAAGGGATCGGGGAAGGTGCTGCAGAATTTGACCTGCCAGCCGGTCATCGCACCGAGAGCGTTGCGACATTAGCCTGATCTTGTTCAGCAGCTCTTCTGCTCCAGTGATGGAGTCTTGCACCTTGATGGTTCCGTTGAGCCCGTACTTGGAGACGAAGGAACACCCGTCACTATCATCTCATCATGACCGCGGCACTCGCAGCCATGAGGCACATCGTATCACAGTTGCCATTGCAACAGACAGGATCGCTGAAAATGATGTGAGAGTAGAGCGGTAGGGTCACCAAGAGTAGAGAGGATCCCTCAGCTTGATTCCCTGAGTTTGTGTAGCCTCCTGACCCCAGTGGGGAGAGCCTTGCCGAGCAGGAGGTTGATAACGGAGATCTCGATCTTGAAGGAGACAAAGATCTATCTTGAAGCAGATGGTGACTAAGAGTCGCATGTACGCGTCTGACCTGCCCATCTTCTCTCGCACCTTCTCAAGCATCCCCTCGATCTGGATCTCTCCGAAGGTCTTCTGCCCTTGATCACGCTGTCCACCTGGTCCATGTCCTCGAAGAGGCTCGTGACGGCCTCGTTCAGCAGGCTGTTCACTTCCTATGCCTCTTGAAAGGATTCAAGCTAAGCGTAGAGTCACGAGTACCGTACCGGTAGTGGTACTGAGATGGGATTGAAAGAATTCCAACTAGATTATTTGAGTAATAATTTCTAAAATAGAAAACTTGAGTAAAACTTTACTAAAAAAGGGTAAAAAAACTGCTACTCGAAGGAGGACAAGAATAACGTTCTCGAACAGGAGGAGAGATGAGGTTAGGGTAGTTTTGAGAACATTCAGAGTTTCAAGTTTTGTGATCTTTCATAGTTCAGAGAGTATAATGAAAGATGGAACCTTTAATAGTTCAGAGAGTATACTGAAAGATGGAACATACAAGATCGTCAACAGCCACGCGTTTGGACAGGCTTTGGGAAAGAAAACAGGATTTTGCGAACATATACACCACTCACTGTAACTTTACCAGGAGGTTGCTCATGAACAGTCATTTCTCGAACGAACAAGATAATGGTATCCAATGTTTCTAATCAAAATTATAGTGAATTTTCTTGAAGATGAGACTTTTGAGCAAATATTGTATGCGCCAACCAACAATCCTGCACTCCCAATATCTCATGCGCTGGTGAGTTAAACGTCCTTTCTCACTGAAAAACAAGTTTTGATTTCAAACCCAGGAAAAACTGAGAGAAGAAATTGTTTTGAAGGGGATTCCGGCTACGTCACAAGGCACTGTGAAGTGGTTTACCATCATGTTGTGATGTGTCTTGCAGAAGAGGAATATCTTCTGCGAGTAGAGAGCAAATCCACCACAAGAGGGAAAACTTGGAAGATCCTTCTTGGAGCTCATGAAATTACATTTCAAGTAAATTCTCTACCGATCTCATATCTTTTTGCGCGCATCGATTGGATCGTTTTATTTTTTCTTAAAATGATTTTGTTTGCACAGGAGTATATGGATTTGGTTGCTCTGGGTCAATCTTCATCACATAGTAAGATTGAAGATGATGCTTTTCGAACGTTCGCATCAGACAGTGAATTCTGTGCAAGAGTACAACGTGAGAATGCCAGTGCACCCGCAAAATGTTTTTGTCACCAATTCTCAGAATGCAAACTGGTTCGAGTTTTAAATGCTGTCATCCATCAAGCAGAGAGGAAGAGGTCGAGGGATCAAGGTCAGCCAACTCAGCCCTCTGTTGCTCCCTGCCTTTCACTCTCCGCATCCAACCCTAAACCCTAGTTGTTGCTCTGACTCCAGGGATGAACAGTGGTCGTTTACGTTCAAGGCATGAATGCTATCTGTGGCATTGTGCTGCTGGAATTGAATGAGATAGATGCAACGGCGCTTCTTCTCGGTTATGACTCTCAGCAAATTATTTTGACTACTCACTTGTTTCTAGCTTTATTGGAGAAACATTGCCCTCTGTACCTTAACAGCACGTTGGACTCGGTATACATCGGCTGCATGGTGCTTGTTCTTTCCTTGTCGACAAGAAGTGATCAGATGGGACAGCTCGTCGATCAAGTTCTTCATATCGTTGACGTAGACTTGTTCAAATTTTTAAGCAAGTTCAAGCTATCAGGACAGATCTACTGCTTCCCATGTACCTGTCATCCCGCTCCTTGTCAAACGTGCTGACATGGATCGGCAGGGCTGCTCTCACTTGGCTCCTGCTGGTCTCCGCATAGCGAGGCTGTAAAACTCTTCGACTTTCTCTTCGCCAAGGTCTTCCAACTTATTGAGCTGCGAGGCAGCACGGTCGGAAAGCTGCAGCTGACTGCTTGTCAGGGTGTCCACTGGATCGTTATGTGCTCAGTCGCCAGAGTAGTGAGTCTTCGCGCCGACCTCTTCGCGTCTGATAGGTAGACCGCCTGAGGAAGGACAATGTGGAGGAGGAAGAAAGTCAACTTGACTGAGCGCACTGTAGAGGACAAGATTGACACGATGAACAGGCCGATGAAAGTATTTCAGAAATTACCACCATACGACGCAACCGTGAGATCGGAAATCTATTGAAGCGAAATGAATTGATTGCAGGAAAATATTTGCGAGGCGAAGCTGTTTTGGTCGAAGCTGAGCTCGCAACAGCAGAAAGTGATTGAGAAACATCCGTACGATGCTTGTTCAGCAATGGAAGATTGGGAATGATTTCCCCTAAGCACCATTTTGTTATCTAGTCAACTTCTATTGTTTGTTGTTGGGAAACTCAAGAATTTTGTTGTACAATAGAAGAGCATTCCATTAAAGAATTGATCATTCGGCGAGAGCTAAAGTATTTCTTCTCCAATCGACTAAGAACGAACCAAATCTCGTAAAAACGTCACTTTGTGTCTTCGTCTACGATCGCTACTGTGAAATTTCTATGATTGTGCTTGCACAGCATCAATCATGAGTGCGATGGTCTCTGTGTTTACATGAGCAAGAAAGAAAAGGGTCATTCAAATGGCACCTGAGTCGGGGGTGACTTCTTCCTGCTTCATCTCGTTGATCACCTTGCATAGGCTCAACATGCGCTACAAAAAGAAGAAAACAACCTTGAGAACTTCACTAAGTTTTCGCTGTCCCGACAAGATGGAAATGATGAGGTTATACGTAACAATATTCGCTCGTACTCCCGATGTCTGTTCGACTTGTAAAACACTCGAGATTGTAGGTCGACGTGATGAGGAATGAACGAAAAGTAGAAAAGCAATGGGTAATGAAAAGGGAGATTAGAACCTTCATCCCCTTGTAGACATCAAAAGCTTTCTGATAGTTTGACGATTTGACACAAGCCGAAATGAGAGAGTTGTAAGCTTGCACGCTTGGGGTGTGCCCAGCCATCCTGATCAAGATCTTTTCAGTTTTGATCCTTGCAAGAGTTTAGCAATGGGATAGAATGGAGAGCGAGCAAGAATAACGACGAAGGTCCAAAAACCGAAAAGGAAAGGGAATCATCAGCAAAAAAAAACGACCTCATGTCTACCATAACATCGATCGCTCTTCTCCAATCGCCTCCTTCCTCTGCTGCCATCGAAAGTGCGTTGAAAGTGGACAGCGACGGTCTTATTCTTTGCAGCTGCATCTGGCTGTAGACCTAACGTATGTGTCATTCAAAACATGGCAAGTGGGAGATTGACAAGAGAACTCAGATAGAAGCTCAACAATCATCACCTCGAACGCTTTCTGCCACTCGTGGCTCCTGACACATGTCTTGATCAATGTGTTGAAAGTTTGTAAGTTTGCTCTGAAGCCATACTCCTGTGTCAAAGTCAGCTCTTGCTCTCACAATGCCACAGTCGTCATCATCATTCATCTTCCGCCCCGTGCCCCTTCTGTCCTCAACTTCAAGCAATTGACCTGGAGGAGCCCGACGACTTGAAAGGCGCAGGTTGAGTTCCCGACGACCTCGCATGTGCCGAGGAGGACGTTGAAGGTGACAAGGTTGGGGGTCACATGGTCTTCCTTCATCAATTCGAGCACCCTAAAGGCGCGATCGAGATCTCTTGCAACCTGTAGAGACACTTAGATGCGAAGAGGCTAACGAACGAGCAAGCAGACACAATCAACGAGGGAGTAAAGGCACAGCAAGCTCATAAGACACTCGCACTATTTGACAAGCGAAAGGCAGGAAAAAAGGTCCGGGGTGTGAATCAAACGAGCCTCTTATAGTCTGCCAAGGGCTGCTGTAGACCGAAAGCACAGGGGAGAGAGGGCAAGAGGAACTAGAGTAGGAGAATAGCGATGTAGCACCTTGCAGGCGTGGATGAGGGCGGTGAACATGATCACGTTCGGCTTGATTCCATCTCGCTTGCACTCGTCGAGGATGCGGAACGCGTCATCGAGGCGACCGGCTTGACCGCAAACATGTACGACTGCTGAGTACATGCGAATGTTCAGCTGGATCCCTGCGTCTTGCATCCACTCCAACACATCCATAGCCTGCTCCCACTGCGACAAGTCACAGTCGATCAGGAAAGGTGGAGAGATGGAGAGATAGAGAGGAATAGGAGAGGAGGAGGAGGGGAGAAGGAGTGCGGAAGGAGAAGTGCAAGAATGAAAGGCAGGAAGGCAAAAATAGAAGCAAGAGAAGAGGAGAGGAGAGGAGGAGAAAGTCAAGGAAAAGCACCTGCTTGCTATGCTGGCACACAGAAAGGAGAGCGGAGAAGGTCATGGGGTCAGGAGGGATCTCTTTGCGGATCATCTCGAGGAAGAGATCAAAAGCAGTCACCCAGTTGTCCTTGCTTCTGCAGCTTGCAATCATCGTGCTGTATGTTACCACGTTAGGACTGATGCCCTGGGCCTGCATGTCGTCAAAGAAAGCGAAAGCTTGAGAGAAGTTGTTGGCTCGCAGGCATGCAAAGATCAGCGAGTTGTAAGTGATCACGTTGGGCATGACTTGTCTTTCCATCATCTTCTCGTACATCTCAATTGCAAGGCTGTACTTTCTTGTCTTGGCGAAAGTACTGATGAGCGTCGAGTAGGTAATCACATCTGTGATCACGTGTTGGTCTTCTATCTCGAACAAGATGTCGTAACTTTCCTTCCACTTGCCCATCTCCATGTACACACCCAGCAGAGAATTGTAGGTCACAATGTCCGGCCTCAGCCCGGCCGCCTTTGCCTCTGCAAAGAGAATCTGGGCAATAGTCAAGGTGTTCTGCCGCTTGCGAGACATCAGAGAGGTTGCGAGTGAGTTCTTGCAAACAGCGATGAGAGCGTTGAAGGTGTAGATGTTGGGCGAGACGTTCTTGGCGTCCATCTCCTCCTTCAGTGCAAAAGCTTCATCGTACTTGCCACAGCGATCGCAGAGGGAGATTAAGGTGGAGAAGGTAAAAACATCTCGCTCAATCTGATCTTCGCTCATCATCTCTAAGATCGCAACTCCACTCTCCCAGTCGCACTGCCGCTGACAGGCAGCGAGGGCTGTGTTGAAGGAGACAATGTCGGGTGAGACCTTCTCTCTCATTCGCTTTAGCATCACGAAGACATTCTGAATATCTGGGCTGTGGCGGAGAGCAGATAACACGGTGTTGTATGAGACAATGTCCGGCTCCACTCCATCCTTCTCCATGATGTTGAGGATCGCAACTGCTTCTCTCCAATCCCCCATCCTCTCTAGGGCTCGGATGCAAGCATTGAAAGGGAGGGAGGAGAGTTTTATCTTTCTCCTTTCGCTTTCTTCTCTCATCCATCGAAGAACATCTGCAACCATCATCTTCTTGTGCTTCCTCCCGATCTCAACGATAAGCCTCGACACCAACTTCTCATCCCACATCATGCTCGACAAGACCTTCTTCACCTTGTCCGATGACTGCTCGCTGCTCAAGAGCTTATCGACGTAACTCTTGATGTTATGGTGCTGCCTTGGAGTTTGCGTGCTCATCCTCAAACCATTTTGCTTCATTTCAACATCAGTCCATGTGTTGCTTTGCTGCCTCCCAGCGGTGTGACTCTTCCAACTGTATCTTCGTCTTGTAAGTCGAGAAGGAGATGTCATCCGTTTCTCCGACACTCTTTCAGACGTTAGGAAAGAAGAGCTTTCATCCACAGATTCACTCACAAATCGATCCACCTTCTTCGACCTCGTATGGTTTGTTTTCCCTCGAGAAAAACTTCGAGATTGTTCACTTTGAGGAGACTGATAGTTTGTCTTAAATTCTGAGATGTTTGCCGGGTTGAAATGTCTTGGAGACCTTGAAAGAGCAAGGGAAAGGAAAAACTGCTGTGCAAGATTGCTCTTTTGAGGAACACGACATCTTGAGACTGGAAGCTTGTCCTGCGTCGGAAAAAGTGGACAAAAGATCCTTGACGTAGAGGGAAAACCTTTGTGATGAATTTGAATAAAACTATGAACAACTGTGCGGGATTGAAAAATAATAGAACAAAAAATAAAACTAAGAAGGCTGAACGATTTCATTGCTGGTTTGACTCAGATCCTTGAGACTGATCTTGAGTTTCTATCTCCCGCCTGGCGCAAACCGTTGAGTCACCCGTGAATTCGATAGCTCATCGGTCAATGACCATGTGGAACTATCGCAATACCCTCTTCTTGCTGTTAGGAGAATTTTATCGTCTTCCAATGAACCAAATCATTCTAGCACCATCCCTCATCTGATAGAGAAATCAATTTCCTTCTGTGAAAGCCAAACACATCAGAATCATTTACACAAGCATCATTTACACGCTTAAATAATTTTAAGGCATCAATTGGGTTCAACAAGACAACTCGCCGTTCTCAGATCTGACCTAATCTTTGCCAACTATTCTACACTACGATATAGACGGATTGCATTGTCGGATCGTCTCTAAACGTCTTCATCTCAACGAAATTTTTGCTCTCTGGTATTCGCAAACAACTCACAAATCAACTCACAAATCTATTGGCCAGATAAGAGTTTAGTGCTTAGGTCTCTGAGACCAACATAGTACAACATAGCTCATCTGAATTTTCCTCCTCTGTCTAGCCTTATTACAACCCTCTTGCTCTTCACTCAATTTCAGCTTCTACCGTAGCTTTTCGTTTTCAGGATGTTCACCTACATCCTCACCCAATCCACTTCCTTGTCCCTTCCCCTTCCCTTTCCCCTTCCCTTTCGCTCTCGTCCCATCAGTTGTCCGCATGCTCCCGTCCTCATGTGGCCGCCAAATTTAAAATTTAGTTTTATGAATTTACTCATCAATATTAAAACTACTTTTTAAAAATTCTCAAGAGACAGAATGAGCAGCAAGCGAAGAAGTAAATTGAGTCAGACAAAACAAGCAGATAGATGAAGAAGACCAGCAGGTAGACGAAGAAGACAGGCACGTAGACGAAGAAGACAGGCACGTAGACGAAGAAGACCAGCAGGTAGACGAAGAAGACAAGCAGGTAGACGAAGAAGACCAGCAGGTAGACGAAGAAGACCAGCAGGTAGACGAAGAAGACCAGCAGGTAGACGAAGAAGACCAGCAGGTAGACGAAGAAGACCAGCAGGTAGACGAAGAAGACAAGCAGGTAGACGAAGAAGACAGGCACGTAGACGAAGAAGACCAGCAGGTAGACGAAGAAGACAAGCAGGTAGACGAAGAAGACCAGCAGGTAGACGAAGAAGACCAGCAGGTAGACGAAGAAGACAGGCACGTAGACGAAGAAGACCAGCAGGTAGACGAAGAAGACCAGCACGTAGACGAAGAAGACCAGCAGGTAGACGAAGAAGACAGGCACGTAGACGAAGAAGACCAGCAGGTAGACGAAGAAGACCAGCAGGTAGACGAAGAAGACAGGCACGTAGACGAAGAAGACCAGCAGGTAGACGAAGAAGACAGGCACGTAGACGAAGAAGACCAGCAGGTAGACGAAGAAGACCAGCAGGTAGACGAAGAAGACCAGCAGGTAGACGAAGAAGACAAGCAGGTAGACGAAGAAGACAAGCAGGTAGACGAAGAAGACCAGCAGGTAGACGAAGAAGACCAGCAGGTAGACGAAGAAGACCAGCAGGTAGACGAAGAAGACAGGCACGTAGACGAAGAAGACCAGCAGGTAGACGAAGAAGACAAGCAGGTAGACGAAGAAGACCAGCAGGTAGACGAAGAAGACCAGCAGGTAGACGAAGAAGACCAGCAGGTAGACGAAGAAGACAGGCACGTAGACGAAGAAGACCAGCAGGTAGACGAAGAAGACAGGCACGTAGACGAAGAAGACAGGCACGTAGACGAAGAAGACCAGCAGGTAGACGAAGAAGACAGGCACGTAGACGAAGAAGACAGGCACGTAGACGAAGAAGACAAGCAGGTTGAAATGAAGATAGCATCTGGTGATCAAAGTGCTGACATGAGCAGGCAAGGGGAGCATCTAACAGTTGATGATGCAGGAAGAGGATGATTGTTCACTCTCTTGGAGCAGCTGCCCGATTCCAATCCCTGGCAGGAGAGCTGGGAGGATTTGGCTATGATACTTGTGTAATGAGCAAGCTTCTTCTTTATCCCTGCTTTAACCTTGTTTCCAGAGAGCCTGGGGAGAGCCAGGTGTAAGATGGATGGGCTGCGACGAATTTTTTCCTGATCCAATAGTGTACAAGGATCTTCGCAACAAGGTGAGCGACTAGCGACATTGCAGCTCAGTCTCAACGATCGCAGGTACCCAAGGGATGCGCGCCCACTCAAGTTCAATTTGTCGGGGAGACTTCCATCGGTAGGCGAGCCGACAGTTGGCCATAGAGTGACATGCTTGCAGGCTCCTACCCCTTCGGTCAGCCCACTGAGGGAGACCCCAACCATCCGCCTTTCTGGACTCCAATGACAGATTGATGACAATTGTGCGATGAGCCTGGTGTACTTGTAGCACTGTAGGGATGTTGGGAATTGTGTGACTCGAAAGTTGTCTGGACTTGTTCGTTTTACTCGCTCATCATCCCCTGTCGCGATATTTCTGTCGTTCCATTCAATCTTCCGAGAAGCAAGGGGAATCACTTACTGACTCCTTGGAAGCCTCGACGAACTTGCAGTCGCTGAGAAGCTTATGGAAACTATGTCATGCGCATGCAGAGCAGAAACGATGAAGATACTTGAGGGAGAACGTCCTGATCGGACAAAGACTTGATCATGCTCTGAAGCCTCGCCCTTTGATCGTCAAAACTCTTCTTGCATTCTTCGAAGAATGCTGCCTTGGCATGTCGCTGAATTTCAGATCTGAAAGATACGAAATTTGATAGAGAGAAAGCGATCGCATATGAGAGAATGATCATATTAGAGTTGAGATGAGCGTGTTCTTTGTCATGGCAAAGCCTTGTACCTGCGCATAAGTCCAGGTATAAGCATCCCCCTGAATCTTTGAAAAGAGAAACGTGAGTTCGAAACGAGAGGATATTCAGTTATGAGGGTAACAACCTGTAATCTCTGATTGCTGAGAAAGGAGCGACTACAGGTAGAGCATACACGATTTCTTGTTTCGTGGCTGGATTCTTCAAGGCAAAGTGAAATGAGGGATGAGGAGGTAAACTCCTACCGTGATGAAGTGTCGGAAGTCAGTCGCTTGAAAAGCTTCGGCCTCTTCCACCTGACGAGACGATCATTTCCAGCAAAACTTCAGCTTCATTCACCTGAGACGTTGAGTTCTCGATCACGTCAGTGTTACGCTTGTCAGCATCAATCTCAGTGAAACTGGTCTGACTCATCGTTTCAGTCACAATCTCTACATCTTCCTGTTCTTTTCTCATCAAGTTTTCATCGTAGGTCAGATCATTCGCTCTAGGGGAGTAGAAGAAAATGCCGAATCCCATGCAAAGAGTGCTGATGGAAACAAAATTCTTCTTTCCTCGAATGACAAAACCTCCTTTCGAGAGATATTCTCCTGACTGCACAGGCGCGGATCTTATATCCTTGAGTTCAGAGTAGAAGCAATAAAACCTGAGGAGCTTTTGACACTTGATCAGGATAAACCCAGTAGGCAGCTGTACCGCCTGTAATGCTATCGTTTACAACCTGACAAACCACAAATGCAGGGCTAACTTGCAGTCTTCGATTTCCATGCAGAACTCCTGCAGACTGCAAACTCTGCAGCTTGCAGGATTGTGTTCTCTGGCAACACTTTCCTCTCCTTCAATTCGTTTCTGGCGATCACCGAAGATGCTCCATGTATATCTGCATGGAAATAGAAATCTTGACTCCGCAGATATCTAGGAATTATTCTTGTTTAAATTTGGGACTGTAGATGTTTTCTCTCACCGCTTCACCAAGAGCTCGTTCTGTTGGGCATCTTTTCCTGCAATCACCTAAACAATTAGTTCAATGTTTCAAAACAAAGTCCTGTAGAGTATCACCAATATTTGATCGCTCGATATGAACCAGAAAAATTTCTCAAACCAAAACTTCCTCCGAACTGAAGAAATTCCAATTGAAGACGACTTGCTCTGAAAATCATTCTTTGAAGCTTTTGTGTTCTTCCTCTGCGAAGCCCTGGAAACACCTACATGTAACTACATCAAAACATGTTCTGGGTTTAAATACTTGATTTGTGTATTCTTCAGGGAGATATCTGCCATCTCTTCCGCTCTTTGCTGCTTTGCTGCAACTTTCTTTTTTTTTTGGAAGAAATTCCTAGCGTTTGCCAGCGATGAGATGGAGTAGTCAAGGACAAGAGTGATATCTGTTGCTCCTCTCGACTTTACAGCTTCACTCTCCACTATCCCCTCTTGAGGGAGGCGAAAAGAAGCCTGCGTGTTAGCGAGGTCAACACTTTGAAGCCACTTGGTCCACGGGCAATCCTGTGAAAAAAGGAATAAATGTGGCGACAACACTTTTGCTTTCTGTGTCAAAGGCAATGTCTTTACCGTAGAATTCATTTCATGTATCTCATGAAGGACATTTGCAGCGTTTCGATGAATCTTGACTAGTCCTCGTATTTTATCCAACGCTTCGTCGATATGAAATGAATTGAGTTCAAGCAATGTGGCTTTCTTATGGTTGAGAAGCTCCTCTTGCTTCAAGCCTTTGAAAATGGTGATCACTGAGAGCATTTCAACATCTCAATTTACCTTCAGTGTGAGATTTTATGTCTTTCTTGGCCTTGTTTACTTTCTTCGAAACAGTTTCCACAGCTTCATTTGCATCCTTTTGATCTCTGCCATACTCATATTTCAAATGACGTGAACAAAACCCATTCCTCGATTCACCTGTTGAAATCAATCGTAGAAAAGAATTCATCCATCGCAACATCAATGCTGGGATATTCTAAAACCATTTTGTCCTCTTGCTGTTTCAACAAGATCGGAGAGAATTCAGAGATGACGAGGGTTTGATTGGAAGAGTCAGATATCCGGTCTAGGATGACATAGCCTTTGAGTGCAGCTGAACTTGACGGGGTGGCCAGCTGCTGACTGTGACCAAGCATGAACAAGTGATCGATCTCTTTGAATGCTTGTAACAGTCTTTGCAGGTCAATGTCATTTCTAACTTCATCCGCTGGGATATCCGGCTGCAAATACCGGTTACCACAACACTCCCCCATGCCAGGTACACCTGAATTCCTGCACACAGCAAGACATGCTCTATGAGTTGTCCAGGATACTGGCACTCCGTTGCAAGCAGCTTCATCAAAGCTGTTTTCTTCTTGTCTTTGCGTGTGAGGGATGATCCAGTGGACTCTCTCAATCCTCGACAGATGGATCTTGATCGCTCAATCGCCTTCACAAGTCGGTCGCAGCTCATCGGCTGAAACCCTCCTCCATCATCTATCAAGTATTTTGACTTGACCTCTACATGTCTACCATCTGGAGTCTCGTAGGAACGAAGCAAAGACAAAATGGTCATCTCATGATCGCAGAGAATGATGTTGCCGGCAGCGTAGAATTCTAGGATCAGATGGTTGGATCTGATGCAGATCAATTACGATATGAAATGAGCATTTATAACAACCTGTTTCCCAGTCCAAAAGTCATCTGCAAGACCCTATCCTTCCCGACCTAGGAGAATCAAAGTCACAACAACTGCATCCATCCTGTTTTACATGATTCGACCTGCCTGACATCGTTCAAGAACTGTCCTCGGATATGCTTCCTGATCTTCGTCGCAAAGTTGGATGGGCGGGATGCAGTTGCTCGATGGAAACGAGAGGTGTGCAATCGACTTCCACTTTCAATCACCACAGAGATCCTTTGACTGCTACCATTGACGTGTAGCGCATCTGCCGACATTGGGAGAGTCTGACTCTCCTTCAATGCACAGCTAGCGCCTAGCCTAATCTCAAGCGTCCTTGCATTGATGTCGTAGATGTTTGCAACCCTGGTGCCAATTAGGTTTCTCAATATTCTCGTTTCGACCGAGAGATCTAAAGAAGACATTCGCATCTTAGTGCTGTCACTTGCTCTGGTCGTGATGGTGCTGAGGTTTGTCTGTTGGAGCATCTCATACGCGTCTGCTGTGTTCTCGTTGCACTCCTCTGCTACCGCATCACTACATGCCTCAGAACATCCTCCTCGCAATGTCGAGACCCATTGAGCGGAAGGAATGCGACGTGTTAGGTCGGGACTGGCCAGCCTGCTGCCGGCAGGTTTGGTGATGACGAAGAGGATATGAATAAGCGTCAATTGAAAGCATCTTGACTGCGATCGTGACATCATTACATCTCTTGAAGTTTCCTGTGATACTCTCTGGCCCTTCTTTCCACCTTCGCCCCTCCTCTCATCCCAGTTTGAACAACGAGATGCTCTTCGTCGACGTCTCCTCAAAGTTTTCTCATTGATGCCTCTCACCTTTCCCACATATTCCCCCTTCTTTTCTCTCTCACTCCCACTCCTCCTCCTTCCTCCCTCTTCCCCTCATCTCTCCTGTGCACCAATGCGTCCAATCATGGTTCTTGTGCGTTTTCATTGGGTAGAGGGGTACTAAGGCTCTTCTAAAGAGGGGTGGAGCAAAGGAGAACGTAGGGGTGGACAACATAATTGGCGGAATTGAGAGGGTGGGGCAGGGGAAGAGTGGAATGCAAGATCTTCAGCAAGATGACGACTGAAGGTGAGATGCGAGGAGAGATGAAACGAGGAGAGGAGACGACGACGCAGGAGGAGGAGGAGGAGGAGGAGAAGAAGAAGATGATGATGAGGAGGAGGAGGAGGAGGAGGAGGACGAGGACGAGGACGAATTCTATGGTGGTCATGAAGAATCCGAGACTCTGAATTGCAATCAGGGAGCTAGAGAGATCAAGCGTGTGCGAGTGTAGCATACTATTCCCACCTTGACTATTGTTTTGCCTTCAGCACACAGGACTCGTATCGCAGTTCGAGCGTTGATCTTTTTGGCTTTCATTTTATCGACGTCTCAGGAGTTTGAGGGGGGACGTCATGGTTTTAATTCGATCTTATCAAGCCCTCAATATCAGGCCCATCATGATCGACGATGCACTCCTCTTATATGGTGAGGCTTGTTTGCTTCGGGGTTGACTGCTCTCATCATGACGTCTGGCAGTCTCAAGAGCTTGCGAGGAGGAATCGGGGGATCGGCACCTGAGCAGGGGGACGATGATGAGATTCTACCAGACGTTTCAGAAGGTTTCAATGTTGACTTGGTGGATGAAATCAATGCGCTGTCAGCACGAAACATTATGAAAAATGTCTCTCAGAGTGTCTTGGACCAAAAGCTGAGTCATCCAGGCAGAAAGACCCTGAAAGAATACCTGCAGAGCGTGAGATTGCATGACGATGGGCAGGATGTCGTCAATGGCAGTGATGGGAGCAGGAGGTGGCAAGAGGCGAGCAATGAGGAGGATGAACATCTTGAAGCAAGATCTCCATCGATTAGTCCACCCTCAACAGATGAGAGCGAAGTCGAGAAACAGCCCAGAAGTCCAGATGTTGAGCCACCTTTGTCGATACCCGACATGTCGTCAACCAGCTTGGTGAAGGGATCGGACACTTTCCAACTTCCTGAATACTTGCTTCCGCAAGATGAACGAGATAAGCTTGAGGTGAGCGTGTGGAACTTCGTCAGATTTCAGAGCAAAACTGAGTGTTGTTCTGCTTGAATAGCAAGAGCGGAATGTCAGTCGCAAGATTGAGGGGCTGAAGGACGAAGAAGGATTCTTCCGTCCTCAAACACCAGAGCCTCTCCATGCTGTACTTCACTTTCTCCCTCATGGCTAACACTAATGACGATCATGTCAGGGCAATGATCCCAACTCCAAATCGATAGTGGAAGGAGAAGGGTTGATGTTTCCAGATTTGATGCCTTTGTCACAGCAACTCCAGTGAGCAACTGGCCTTGACGTACCTGATCCTCCATTCCTGACCTTTTCCTGATTCTTCTACCTGATGTTGCGTGTAAGCTTCTGATACTGTCCGGAAGGTATTACAAGAAGCGGCTAAGCGAAGTCGATGCACAATGGGAAGAGTTCGACAAAGAACACGGATACGATCGAAAGCGTGGGTCTTACTATGATTCTGAACTCGATGAGGCAAGACGAGAGTCAAAGCAATGCTATCAAGCCTGAAATGTGCATTCAGATCGTGCACAGAGAGGACGAGTTGGCGAAGTACATGAATCAGATTGAACGAGGTATGAAAGAGTCGTCGGATGACGCCGAGATCCAGAGAAACGAGAAGTTCAAAGAATTGGAGAAAGAAGACGAAGATGCAAAGCTAGTCGTACCGAGGCGAACAAGGCAGATAGTAAACCACTGCCATCGTTACTACAACCGATTATTCGGCAACAGCGTAAGAGCTTGCTATGCTTTTTCTCTTCCCTGATCCGTCCAATCTATCTTTAGGGCTTCCGTGTGTCAGACGAGCCGTCGGACGATTGGGCTTTCTGTGTGAACTCGTCAGAAACAAGTTCTGAGGAGTGGGGGAAATTGTCAGATAGTGTAGATGAAGAGACGAAAGAGAATCAATGCTACACGGCTGCCTTCGTCGTGCAGCTGATGATAGCAGGCTCTATTTCCTACTCACCTTGTCGGTTTCCTAAGGCACCTCCGCGTTGTTGTCTTGAAAGTTGACTGAGTTTGTCATGTCTGCAGGCCGACACCAATCTGGACTCTATTGATGTTGCTCTTCAGCTCCGAGCTCTCAGAGATTATGGGTCGTCTACGATTCTACTGCGAGGAACATGCCCGGGTTCGAAGTTGGCGAGATGGTTTCAGGTCTGTAGTCTTGGTTGTGACAAGCTTGCTGACCAGAGAACTCAATGTGACAGAGAATGCTTTACCCTCGGTGTCCCGGGCTTGTCGGAATATGGTACAACCTTACAGATGTTATGTCAGTAAGTGAGAACGATGTTGTGATCCCACGCACGATAGAGGAGGAGATGAGTGACAACAACCATGTTAAAGTTCTCAAGCTGAGAAACTCTTCGGTCACCTGGAACTCTCTTCCGCTTGCTGTTCAGACCTGTGTTCGAAACTACGTCGAGAACATGGAGAGCTTCGGCATGGAGCAACTGAAGGAGCCTGAAAGGATCAAGGACAACTTGGGTTTTCACGCGAAGCTCTGCTCGAAACAGCTCAAGATTGAGGGAGGAGATCACTTGTGGGGCGATCAGACCCTTTCACCTGCAGCTATCAGGATGGACGGAGATCAGTGCTGCCACATCATATGCGAACCCGGCACGCGACTCCTCGGGCAGTGGATGTTGGGAAACTACACAAGTGGAACCATGAAGCATGCGACTTGTTTGGCTGGGGCGCAGACAGTGGCAGTAGATGGCTATGGCTTCTGTGTTTGTGTGAGTGGCGGATTTTGGCTTTTCGAGAATTCATGTTTCAAGATCGAACGAAATGATTCCTTGCGTCCAAACACAGAAGATCTCTACGACGTTTTGTACGCACAACTTCACGGACGGCAGGTACCGGTAGCCTCCAGGGCTGAGAGAAGCGTTGGGGTCTTGCTGCGAGGAAACGCATTGGTCTACTTCTTCCGCTGTGAGATTTTCATGGGCCTGCGCGTGGAGCATGAGGCAAGATTGACGACGATCGAATGTCACATCCTTGAATCGACGGCAGAGGATGATGGAGTAGCGTTCTTCAACGAGTCACAAGGGCACCTTGAAAGATGCTTGTTCTCGCATCACAAGCGAGCAGTGATAGGGATCAGCAACGAGGCGAAGGTGCTGGTCAAAATGTGCGAGTTCTACCAAAATCAAGAAGCTTGCATCTTCCACTCAAATTACCCGAAACCCAACGGAAGCATCTCTTCAATCCATGAGTTTTGGAGGTCAGAGCTTAGGGTTTACACCAATATCATCCGGGATGGCAAGGCGCTGTGGCTGGGGAATGAACTCAAGGTGCGATCACTCTGGTGTGCTTGCATACGAGTGTTGCTTCAAGATTAGCAGTAGTTTTATCTTCGATTGAGTTGACTTCTTTACCCACAGATTGACCTGGTAGACGAGAAAGAAAACTTCTTGAACGACAGGAAGTCAAGAGCATTCATCCGTAAAGGCTGCGGTCTCTTCACGGAGGAAGAGGTCGCCAATGAGAACTGCAGCTTGAAGCGGGAGGCGATGAACGGGCTCCAAGGGTTTCCTCTCTTCGCTCCCACGGTAGTCAACTACCTCTCGACCAACTTCGAGAGGACAGTCGAAGAGTTCCACAAGAGCGCCGAGCGATCCTCGAGCGAGTGGGGCGACAGCGAGGAGAATGTGGACGCAGTTCCCTCGGTTTTCAACAAGGCCAACGTCACTGCCGATGAGGTGAGGAGGGGGGGAGGGGAGGAAACGCCTGCCGCATGTAATCCGCGATTGACGCAGGGCAATGACGAGTCTGCTTCTTTGGACGAGAACGCAGGAAGTCGAGATGTCATCACACGGCTGCTAGAGAAAGGGAAGCGCATGAACGGAACAGGCTTCGATATCGCAAGGCAGCTGGGAATCTACGACGAAGAAAACGACCCGGAGAACAACCAGGAAAGGGAAATGAAACAGCCGGAGATGACCGAAGACGTGAAGATGATCATCAACAAAGCTTACGACAAGATCGAAGAGATCGCAGGCCGAGAATCAGCGGAAGAATTCTGATGATAAAAGTGTTTAAAGTGTTTGATGTGATCGACTGCAACCGAGAGCACTCCTGACTGCGATAGAAGTTAGATCATCTTGATGCCTTGGACCCCATCAACGGTTGGAGGGTGTCAGGGTCTAGCAGGGAGTCTGAAATTGGTACATGTCGACGAGCAGGAATATGGTTTTCCCTGGGGGTGAGAAGAGCGTTATAACAACAAAAGGCTGCTGTTGTCATCACCATGATGACGTCGATTTGTTCTTCTCTTCTCGCTCTCTAACTCGGATCAAGGAGCTGTAAGGATTGTCAGGTGCTGTTGAGGTCAATTAGCAGAAGATCACCGGAGGTTGGCAGCATCTCTTTCTAAGTCCTTGAGAGCTTCTTTCAGCTGTAAACCATCCCTCACCACCAGCCGTCGCACGCGCTTCTCACTTGATCCACCCCTGCCACGTTGCGCCACTTCACATCTGCTGCTGGGCTGACCGACCAGCGTCCGACCTCCACCGTGTCCTGTGTTTCAGTATAAGGACCCAGCCAAGCAACAGATGGAGAGATGGGAAGGAAACGGAGCCAACGAGGAGATAAACAGCAAGTGCAGCAAGGGACTGTAGGCAGGCACGAAAGTTCACATGCAGTCGAAGAGTCCTCTTTGTGTAGTTCAACTCCCTGGTGGCTTGCGCGTGTAAGTCCCGAAGCACTTCCATTCCCTTGACCTTGACGGGTACGTCAGAAAACATCTCATCACGCACAAACGCAAAGCAACTTGCTCTTGTAGATGTCTGTTCGACAACCTGAGCGCCTCGATCTCCTCCTCGTAGAGCACTTTGGTGTCCTGAAAGGCGTTGGCTTCACTCACCAGCGATTCGCACACGCCTAGCTGACATGCACGCTCTGAAGAAGATCTTGGCTACAGATGAGTCGACCATCATCCTGCATGTTTATCATGACATCTCAAGCACAAAGCTTGCATCATACCTCCATCTTCTTGATTTGCTCATTCGTCTTGAGATTTATATCCTCCAGATCTTTTATCCTGCTTTCAAGGCTCAAGATCTCTTTCTCTTGTCTTATCTTCAGTTCCTGTGCCAAATGCTGTGAAATCAAGTCTTGCTCCTTGAGATGTTACAGCAATCTTGGTGTTTGCAGCGTCAAGATCCTTCTGCTGCGTCTCGCAGACATGTTGCAATGCACGATTTTCCTAATGAATTCTCAGGCTCCTTGCAATGATTTTCACACACTTCTTAAATACTCGCCTCTTCGACTTGAATTCGTCGACGGAAATTATCGCTAAGTGCTTGTTCCCTAAGCAGCGCATCTTCCAACTGCATGCTCAGCTCATTCCTTGACCGGTGACACAAACTTGATAACCTGCTCTACAATGCGATTCTTCTCGAATAAAAGATCGGAATACTTCAAACGTTCTCCATTTCAAACGCGTTCGAGTTGCAATGATGTCTACCTCTCGCCGCGGAACGTGGGTTGCTGTCATATGCACTATCGACCAATCATGATGTATGAAGCTACAATACCGATCACCTGGACTTCTGCAAACTGGACAGACTAATATGTCGAGCTCGAAGAATTCGCTGAAACAGAACAACATCAAGACAAGATGATGCTGATTTCACTTGAACGAGCACCGTCGTTCGTTCCCGGTTTCTAACGAGAGGCCGCCTAACCAACTCGCTCGGATGTTCTGAGGAATAGATCAAAGATCAGCTTGCCTTCAGTTGAACGCACTAGTCACCTCATCTGCCAATGAGGAGATGTTCTCGTGATCAATTTCAATCTGTGATTTTGTAGGCTTGTCTTCGTTCCGACGCTCGCTAGCCTCAGAGACTCTGCAAATGAACTTATATTGATTCCGAAAAGGAACATGTCTACATCTCCAATGCTCTGGATTGATGATCTCTCAGCATCATCAAGTTCTTCTCGTTCAGCTTGTTTCTTTCGTTCTCAACGTTGGAAAGTTGTTGCTGAAAGAAGAAGAAGAAGAGATGAGATCAATCATGTACCCGCAGAAGCCAAGACCTCTAATTGCATGTTTTTGGATCGGCTCTCCTGGAGCTGCTCATTAATTTCTCGAATGAACACGAGCTGTTCTTCTATCTGTCAAGCCGTGTTAATGTCACAATGCTTCCTCTCACACTTGTCGCGCGTGTTCCTGTGTATTCATGGAAGCCAGCTTCCTCTTCATCTGGGAAGAAATAATAAGGAGGACATGCGAGGGAGAGCTTCGTGTTGCCTTGGAGTTTTCTTGGAAAACCTTGAGGGAGGTGACAAGAGGTATCAGATCATCTCGACAGGAGATCATGCTAGAAACCTTCTCCACGTCGAGCTCCGCCGCCGCATCAGCAACATCCTGAGAGCAGGACGTTAGTGGGACCGCAACCAGCTGAACATCGTCTTACCACTTCTTTCACCCCCCCCAGGAACTCCACGAGGACTTTGGTATGTGTCTCATGCCTCCTCTGATGCCTCGGCAGCTCAGGGTCATAGTCCTTGATCTAGTTGATGAGGTCAAACAATTCTCAGGTGTAGGCAACAGATAGAATCTGGTCAAACAGCAAGAAGACAAAAAAATCAGTGAGTGATATTACATGTTGGAATCTCTCCTTGATTTCGAATTCTTTCTCGCTTCTCGTCGCTTCTTCCCGCTCCTTTGCCAATTGACGGCTAGCTTTCTAGGACCGCGTCAGTGATCTTCATCCATCAGAGACATTAGACCTCAAATTTCTTGGCATCTTTCAAGAGGCTTTGAACAGATCTCTTTCCATCCAACAAGAAGGCGTCCTTGACTCGGGCGAGCTCTCGTTTCCTTTCCACCAGCTCTCGCTGTCACACGTCACAGTCAGGTATGAGCATCTCTCTACGTGACATGAGAGCAGTCGGCGGCAGGCTCTACCTGCATGACCCTCCTTGTCAACCCGAACTTCTCATGTTTTACTTAACTTATTCACCCACCCACCAAATTGTCCTGCAGCAGGGGGGTTGAGCAAGTGTACCAGTATCGCTCTCGTATGGGTCTTGCCGTCCTCCTCGCAGGAGCCTTGCGCTACTGCTCTTTGTCCTGATCCTTGTTCCCCTGCTTGTCGTGAATGCCGTCGCTTGCGTGGTTGGAGTAGCGGTTTTCGCTGCCTCCTTCGTTTCCTAGTTTTTTATTGAGGCGGGTTTGTAGGTTTTATCCTCGTCCTCCTTAGTTTGCTCCTGTTTGCTCTTCTGTTTCAGTCAATAAAGAAGCACAAAAAGGAGCAAGCAGGTGGATACATCTACAGGATGTGAGTCTCATATTATCCTCACCGATACACAATACTTCACCAAGGTCATCCTGTCCTCCACACAGAACATCCTGTCCAGGACGGTTTCCTTTACCTTTGAGAGCATCATCAACGAGCTGAGCAAGCGGGAAGACCTTCTATCTGCGACGTCGTTTTATAAGGCCTTTTATAGCCGCGGGGAAGGAGTTTGAAATCTTGCCGTTGAGAGTTTTTGAAAGCTCCAAGAAGAACAACGACGCAGAAACTCTGTAACCGCTTCGTAACATTTCGCTCGCATTCGCAAGATTGTTGAGCTTAGAGCGACAAGTACTTCGCTGTTTTAAGGTTAAAAGCAAGAAAGAAAGCACTTACACAAAGATCAATGTCAACGCCAAGCGTCGTCAAAGTAGCGCACCATCTTGCGCAAAGTAGGCGCTCGTAACTGAGAAGATGGGAGCCAAGAATCTTGAGTAGGATCATCAGCGCTCTCCCATCGAACCAGATATTCCGTACAATTGCCTTTTACACCTCGTAGAAGTTACCATCTGCCGTAACGATGTGTGCAGGAGGCTGAGACGCAACTTTGAAACAGGAAAAAACAAACGTACTGTACTGTCAGACGGCTTTTCCAGGAACCGCAAAGGTCCAATAAATTTCATACGAAACTTTCGAGCATATTCCGGTAGACTCAAATCCTTCGTAGAAAGCACTGCAAATACCAGGTTAAGTTGAAAAATTTTCATGTCAAGGGTCTTTGGGAACATTTCATGTCAAGGGTCTTTGGGAACATTTCATGTCAAGGGTCTTTGGGAACATTTCATGTCAAGGGTCTTTGGGAACATTTCATGTCAAGGGTCTTTGGGAACATTTCATGTCAAGGGTCTTTGGGAACATTTCATGTCAAGGGTCTTTGGGAACATTTCATGTCAAGGGTCTTTGGGAACATTTCATGTCAAGGGTCTTTGGGAACATTTCATGTCAAGGGTCTTTGGGAACATTTCATGTCAAGGGTCTTTGGGAACATTTCATGTCAAGGGTCTTTGGGAACATTTCATGTCAAGGGTCTTTGGGAACATTTCATATCAAGGGTCTTTGGGAACATTTCATGTCAAGGGGTGAACAACATGGCTAGCAGGAAGTTGTGCACTTCCAGTGTTGCGGTAGCTCTTATAGCCATCTTGATCCCTGCTATAGGAGGTTTCTACTTTGGATTCATAATGGATTACAAGAATCAATACAGGTCTGCCCTTGCAATGTCATCTGCTATCATCAGCACCCGGACCAAACTTGCCATGCCAGTACGGTTTACCAAGATTTTCAGTTCAACTTTGACGCTCGTCAGCAAGGGTCGAAGATCGTTTAATCATATGAAGAATGCGAGCATGTCTTCAGGTGTCAGTCTACGTTGCGAATGTGGCTGTTGTGGAAGTGGGTATATTTATGGATGCTATTGTTGTACTTGTTCGCCAGATTCAGGTCCTTGCTCTTCACGTCGTACTGGTCGCTGCGGCTGCTGTAGTGCAGGTTGGATCTATGGCTGTTCGGGCAGTTGCGGCGGAAGTGGTTCGGGACCTTGCAGCACTCGAGAGACGTACGAGTGTGGATGTTGCGAGTCCGGGATCTTGTATGGATGTCTAGGGACATGTGGTGATGCCTCGGGAACGGGACCATGCAGCGATCGAGCGACAGGATCCTGCGGATGTTGCGACCAGGGATACTTCTGGGGCTGCAAAGGGTCATGTGGGGGAACAACCTACTCTGTAAGCGTGTTCGAGGCCTTGGTAGGCAATGTACAAGTCAACCTGATACTTTTCGGTATTGAATACGCTGCAAATCCAAGGTATCTCGCGCAGATCGACATCATCAAGACTTCGTACTCGTTGACCTCTGCCGTTACGTCAGATCAAGATTTGATGCAGTCGTTAACCCTTGAAGTGCTGAGAACAGCTTCTGGCTTCATCCCACCTCCGTATGGAATAGCAATTCGAGTTGCCTGGGGTGCCTATGATTTTATTACAACGTATGAAGAGACTGGAAATGTCTGGGAAGCTTCACTCACAGCAATATCCAATAATCTTGAGGTAGGTGATGTTAAGTACGTCGGAAATCTTCTCGCAAATGCTGCTAAAGCTTCGAACAAGCTGAATCGGAGAGCGCAACTATCCACAAGGAGCATCAATGGGAACCACTCAAATCCCGAGCTGCGAACAGAACAGCCTCTAATGGTCAAGGTTACTTTCTTTGTGAATGTTACTGATGAAGCTCATCTTACCAATGTTCTCAATAATGTTGGTGAAGAAAAGTTTTTCGCCGAAAGTGCGCTGGACCCAGTAACTTACGGCTTCTGGGATGATACTCAGACGTTGACCGTCGGATGTCTGTTCCAGCAGTGCAATCCTCAGATACTTGTGGAGCCGTCATCAAGTATCTTGCTAAATGTGAACTTCAATTACGCGGCTGCTTCCAGTGCGCTTACTACCACCAAGAGAGACACAATTAGAACAGTGCTGGCCAACACGGCTGGGCCCCTGTCCTTACAGAGCCATGTGACTATCACAAGCGAAACTAGCACGTCCTCGTCCTCCACTGATATGAGGGTCGCGATCAGCATGAAGAGCAAACTGTACGCCACAAAAGCAGCCGCTAGGATGACTGCATCAAATCTCAACTCGGAGGCTGTCAAGGCAGCGTTAGGGACCGACTTGTTCTCGTCGATTACTGCTACCACGTCATTTTCCAACTTCACTGTTACACCGCTTCAGGTTCCTGAGCAAACCACCACCACCACCACCACGACAAGCAGGGTAACCACTACAACTTCCGCAGTTGAAACAACTCCTGCCCCTCTCAATTCGGGATCGTCCACAGAAACAAATCCAGCAAGTGATAAGGGGAACACGAGCTCATCGACTCCTAGTGGCAGCAGTCAGAACACGAGCTCAACGACTCCTAGTGGCAGCAGTCAGAACACGGGCTCATCGACTCCTAGTGGCAGCAGTCAGAACATGGGCTCATCGACTCCTAGTGGCAGCAGTCAGAACATGGGCTCATCGACTCCTAGTGGCAGCACTCAGAACACAAACTCAGGTGATATAAAGAAGACAGATAGCAGTTCTCCGCTTATCATCGTCGTTGTCGTGGCCAGTACATTTTCTGCCCTGAGTATTTCAGTGATTGCTGTGGTGTACATCCGGAAACAGAGAGTGAAGAAGATAGCGACAGTCAACAAGGATTCTGATTCACAAGCTGCCTCAGTGCCCGACATTCCGACTGCAGTGACCGTAGTTTCTTGTCTGGAGGAGGATTAGTTGAGTAATCCTCCATCAATTGACACCAGCTTCGTAAACTACGATACTCTCCCACATGTCACCTGTCTTCTTCATCCCTCTTGACCTTGGAAGTCAATATTTGTGTCTTGCAATCTCGAGGAAAGAGTGGAAAGTGCAAGAAAGTGCAGGAGAACACAAAAGCCAACTTTGCACTCTTTCCTCGAGACTGCAAGAAACAAACCTTGACCTCATCTTAAGAACTCTATTGATCAAGCACACACACTCAAAGAACCTGCAGCATCGCATGGTCTGGCATCGTCATCCTCATTTTCTAAAATACCACTACAAGGGTATATCTGCTAAGCCTAGTAGGAGAAGAGACCTTGAGTTGTAGAGCAACCATTCGATGTTGAAGACCCCGTCGATAGGAATACTAGTCGCAGAGAGCCGACTTGTTCTCGTGTCGAAGAAATGTTGAGCAAGCAATCCTCACCTCTTTGGCAGACCTGTGAAGCTGTGCTCAGGTTCCTCATGGTGCCTGCTGGCTGCTGGCTTCAAAATCGCTGCAATCTCGCTCCTCTTTTTTGACACGCAGCTTCCTTCACCACCCTTCACTTTTTCCTGTGAGTCCCTTCCTTTGCCCTATGAGATAAAACATCGTTGTCCTCTTGTGCTTATGCACGATGCAAAATGACTCCATTGCCAAACACCCTGTGGCGAAACCGAAGCTCATGATTAACACTTCAGATCATGCTCTCCCCTGTCACAAGGTGCAGGCCTGCACCTTAGGATTTCTCAACCCCCTCGATGAAACCCATGACTGAGTATGAACTTAATGTTCATGGAATGGACACAGAAAAATGAGAAAGAAATGATCAATCATGTACCCGCAGAAGCCAAGACCTCTAATTGCATGTTTTTGGATCGGCTCTTCTGGAGCTGCTCATTAATTTCTCGAATGAACACGAGCTGTTCTTCTATCTGTCAAGCCGTGTTAATGTCACAATGCTTCCTCTCACGCTTGTCGCGCGTGTTCCTGTGTATTCATGGAAGCCAGCTTCCTCTTCATCTGGGAAGAAATAATAAGGAGGACATGCGAGGGAGAGCTTCGTGTTGCCTTGGAGTTTTCTTGGAAAACCTTGAGGGAGGTGACAAGAGGTATCAGATCATCTCGACAGGAGATCATGCTAGAAACCTTCTCCACGTCGAGCTCCGCCACCGCATCAGCAACATCCTGAGAGCAGGACGTTAGTGGGACCGCAACCAGCTGAACATCGTCTTACCACTTCTTTCACCCCCCCCAGGAACTCCACGAGGACTTTGGTATGTGTCTCATGCCTCCTCTGATGCCTCGGCAGCTCAGGGTCATAGTCCTTGATCTAGTTGATGAGGTCAAACAATTCTCAGGTGTAGGCAACAGATAGAATCTGGTCAAACAGCTCAAGAAGACAAAAAAATCAGTGAGTGATATTACATGTTGGAATCTCTCCTTGATTTCGAATTCTTTCTCGCTTCTCGTCGCTTCTTCCCGCTCCTTTGCCAATTGACGGCTAGCTTTCTAGGACCGCGTCAGTGATCTTCATCCATCCGAGACCTTAGACCTCAAATTTCTTGGCATCTTTCAAGAGGCTTTGAATAGATCTCTTTCCATCCAACAAGAAGGCGTCCTTGACTCGGGCGAGCTCTCGTTTCCTTTCCACCAGCTCTCGCTGTCACACGTCACAGTCAGGTATGAGCATCTCTCTACGTGACATGAGAGCAGTCGGCGGCAGGCTCTACCTGCATGACCCTCCTTGTCAACCCGAACTTCTCATGTTTTACTTAACTTATTCACCCACCCACCAAATTGTCCTGCAGCAGTGGGGTTGAGCAAGTATACCAGAAGGGGTACTTTACAGGTCAAAGACAGGGGTGATTGAAGCTGAGGGACGGAAGCACAAAAAGGAGCAAGCAGGTGGGAACGAGCAGCAGGTCGAGTTCCCAACTCACCCGATGATCTAGAACTCCTTTCCTTGCCCCCCTTCCTCCTGCTCCTCTTCCTCCACTTCCTCCTGCTCCTCTTCCTCCACTTCCTCTTGCTTCTTTTCCTCCCCTGCATCCTTCATCCCCTTTGTTTGTCATTATCCCTGCAAACACCATTTGGACTGGTTGTTCAGTATCGCTGATCAGATTGATTCCATATCGGCTCTACTGTTTGCTGATCATTGGCGCAAACCATCCTGATCTTTCGTGGTGAAACTGGAAAACCCATTCAGCATGATGGTGAGTGAGCGATGGTGGAGGAGGAAAACAGGCCTTCTGCCCATCGTCATCATTATCTCGCTGATGCTCGGGAAATGTACTGCATCAAACACGTCTACAGGATGTGAGTCTCATACCATCCTCACCGATACACAATACTTCACCAAGGTCATCCTGTCCTCCACACAGAACATCCTGTCCAGGACGGTTTCCTTTACCTTTGAGAGCATCATCAACGAGCTGAGCAGGAGTCTGCCGAAGGGCTACACCTCCGGTACGCTCGCCGGGAAGACCTTCTATCTGCGCAGCTTCCTCGCTACCAACAGCGCGGTCGGATGCCAAGTCTCAGAGCTGCTCAACCTAAATACCATATACTCAAGCAACGACACCGGGCTCGAGACCCCTGGCTGTACCAGCTGTCAGATGAACCCCGACTTCGTCCAGTACGCCATGGTCACCTGCGACTCCTCGTGCTACTGCAGCTTGATCCGGAGCGGGAGGTACTCGGCAGCGTCTGCAGGGGGCTTCGGCGTGTCGATCGTAGGGGCAGGGAGCGGCTGCTCGGGATCGATCGTGTTCACAAATGGCTGGTCCACAGGCAGCCCGTACACGGAGTATCTACAGTTCGGGGCGGGAAGCCCATTTGCTTGCTCCTCGTACGGCAACTATACAGACCTTCAGGTTCGATGCCCTCCCAACTCAGCAGGATGTGAGTCTCATACCATCCTCACCGATACACAATACTTCACCAAGATCATCCTGTCCTCCACACAGAACATCCTGTCCAGGACGGTTTCCTTTACCTTTGAGAGCATCATCAACGAGCTGAGCAGGAGTCTGCCGAAGGGCTACACCTCAGGTACGCTCGCCGGGAAGACCTTCTATCTGCGCAGCTTCCTCGCTACCAACAGCGCGGTCGGATGCCGAGTTTCCGAGCTGCTCAACCTAAATACCATATACTCAAGCAACGACACCGGGCTCGAGACCCCTGGCTGTACCAGCTGTCAGATGAACCCCGACTTCGTCCAGTACGCCATGGTCACCTGCGACTCCTCGTGCTACTGCAGCTTGATCCGGAGCGGGAGGTACTCGGCAGCGTCCGCGGGGGGCTTCGGCGTGTCGATCGTAGGGGCAGGGAGCGGCTGCTCGGGATCGATCGTGTTCACAAACGGCTGGTCCACAGACACACCGTACACGGAGTATCTACAGTTCGGGGCGGGGAGCCCATTCACTTGCTGTGAAGGTGGGTTCAGCACGTTTGTGGATCGCTGTAGCGCCAGGATGTGTCACAGTTGCCCCATTGGTTTGTCTTCTCCCTCTGGTCATGCCAGCAGCCCTGCCAGCAGCCCGGCTGATTGCACTGTTTGCGCTCGAGGTTTCTACATGAGTGCTGTTGGGTGTTTGCAGTGCCCAAACCAAACGACCACAAATGACACAGGAAAGACGTCAATCCTGGATTGTACTGCCGTGAATATGTCACACGTTTGCGTGCTCAATGCTACCTGGGAGGATATCGTTCACACTGTGACAAGGTCAAAACAGATGATGCAACGTCCGACTTACATTACAGGTGTGTATCCACTTCTGACTTCATCACTGCTGATAACTTGATGTCCTGACTGTTGCTCGACTAGGTGGATTGGGAGAAATGATGAAGCTGGATCAGGAAGAAGTCTGGGTCTGTCAGTTTGATCACACATGCTCACAAACTCGCCGACCAACAAACGCCCCGGTGAGGGCCATCAGTCAAATCCTACGCTTGATGATCTGAACCATCCTCTCAGCTGCCTCCTAACATGACTGACGATGGATTCTGCTTCATTTTTGATGAAGTCAGGTATGTATTGCCAGCATGATCCCGCACTCTCTTGCTTGATTTCTCACCTCCACGGCAGGCAATGCTTCAAGCCTTGGGGACTTCTTTCCGCGCTGCACTTGCGGTCACGTGAAAGGTAACACCCCCTTAATTAAAGGACCGGACCATCCTAGGCTGGTCATCAGCTCTCCATTGCCTAAACATCTTATCATGGGGTCTGATGCAGTCAGTACAACTGTTGAGTAAGTATTAAAGTTTAACTGAATCTCTGTCTTGTTGAGTAAGTATTAAAGTTTAACTGAATCTCTGTCTTGTTGAGTAAGTATTAAAGTTTAACTGAATCTCTGTCTTGTTGAGTAAGTATTAAAGTTTAACTGAATCTCTGTCTGAAATCACCGTACTGTGGGCGCCGCTCGGCGATACTTCAGCCGGCCCGGCCGGACAACGGATGATCATTGCCAGTAGAGGCGGGGCGGCAAAATGTAGTGTGCATTTAACTTGGTCTTGAGCAAAAACTGTCACCGTTGAGGTCAACTGATGTACGGCCTGCATTACTTTGGCATGGTAAACTCGTACTCATCAGGAGGCGGAGCCCGTGACTCGGAACCGTAACTGACACAGTGAGTCGGGGCCCGCGGCGTAGGCTACCCGCGGCGCCGAGCCTGCATGCCGCCAGACGGGGCCCCGGGGTACTTCTGGGGCTGACTTGTGCCAGCTGACTTGCCAGTACGGTACGGTAGCTGGTACGGTACGGTCACTGCGGTACGGTACAGGGTACGGTACCGTCGGCCACTGGTCGACCATAAATGTGGTACACAAAAAATCGACGGTGGTAATGATGCATCCTGAAAACTTTAGTCATATTTATATTTAGTATGACAAAGCACCTTTTTTGTTTTTCTGAGAACATTCCGTATAGATAGTGACCGGTCCCTTTGACCCTCCACTGTCCATATTGAGTGGCAGGTTGAAATTATTTTTTTTCGTTGTTGTGCGTTGCGCAGGGAGGTGATGCATGCGAGGCAAGGATAGCTAGCAACGAAGGAAGAGCAGGCGAAGGGAGGGAGAGTGGTAGGGAGGGAGAAGAGGAGAGACTGGAATATCAGAGCATGATGGAAATCAACAAGTATAGGTGTCGAATTCAATGTGACAGGGTAATCAGTGATTCAAATGTTGGTTCAGATATTCAATGGTTGGGATCGTAGTTCTGGAATATGCAAGAAGATTTAAAAGCTGTTCATGCTGTCGGCGAAGATTGCTGATCAATATACTTGATTGGAGCGTCACTTGATCATAACTCCATGACGACAGTTGGTAGTGTCAGTGTGGCATGTTCTTGAGAAATGATTTGACCAAGAGAACGTCTGATCCTCATTTGGCTCTAGGATGTCCACGACTTGAGGCTGTCGCGATGCAGTCTCGAACGGCCTACCGGCCACGAGAGGGAGCAGGACCCCCCGTGTCCAATCAAAGCCTTCGGCGCGTGAGGAGAGATACAGACTACTACAGCAGAAGTCCCAGCGCCATTGACTTCACCAGGTCTTGACCTCTCCTCCACTTCATGTGGCACTGATGCGCTTGCAGTCGAGGATACACAGGAGCTACGAGTACTGGCGGAAGGGAATATACGCGAGGAAACGAAAGTTTGCATACGAGTTCTAATGGTCTGAGACCGAACTATGCAAGAACTTTCTCTGGCAAGAACGTCCTCAACGACTCATCCAGCAGACGATCTCTCTCCGCTAACACCTCTCACGTGCTCGATCGAGACTCTCTGAGCGCGCAAGTAGGCTGCTATGAGGTGTTGCGCATGCGTTAACACTTTAACGGCAGCCAAGTACGAGGGTGCATACCAATTATCAAGAAAAAAACAAAAAAGGTAGAACTGACACCAACATTCCTTTCTTGACTCCTGTCCGAAGATGACTCCACAGATAGCTTGAATCAGTCCACTTCGGTGAGTGCGCTTGTTGGGTCCATCTTCTCATGGATTTCGATAGGACGGCATCAAAAATCTCCGTTTGAGTTCCAGGTGCTGCTCTCCCTTTGTTGGTTTGTATGAGAATGAATCTCTTACCTGAAAGATCCTCCTCGTCACCGCGAGTACTTGAATGTTCGGATTCCATTCGAGACCTGCAGGGCTTCTGGGATGACTCGTTCTGGCTGTCATGCAAGTGCAGCATTGCTGGTTTAGGACAGAGACGGAAGGTGAGTTGAATCAAGCGAGTGCAAGGAGATGAGAAGATCGTCTGGAAGTGTCTCTGATTGACGCATGTGTCAAACTCAGACGACTCCACGAGCACTCGTTGGGCTGAGCAACCTCGGAAATACTTGTTTCATGAACAGGTTGTGAGGCATTGCTGCCAGCCTGTCTGTGATTGTGTCTGATCATTGTCCCAGCGTGCTGCAGTGCCTTGTCAATACTGCGCCACTCTCTGCATATTTTGTCGCAGACGAGTATAGCGGGGTAATGCACTGATCTGCGATGTAGTCGTCAGCTGCTCACCGCGGTGGGTCAGGAATTAAATCGAAGCTCCAAGAGTTGGCAGCTTGTCGACGACTACGCGTCACTTGCAAAAGACATGTGCAGTTTGAACGCGTTCACCTCAAAGACTGAGAGGCTGCGGCAGGTGGAGGACTGCTGGGAACACTCACACCAGCATCAACCCCTCAGCCCTCAAGATGCAAATCTCTCGGTGCGAAGCAGCTCAGAAAGTTAGTTTGTCTCATCCTTTGATCTGCAGATGGGCAAGACAATTCAGTGGGTATGAGCAGCACGACAGTCAGGTACGTGAAGATGGCATGCTCAAATAGTTTTGACTTGACTGCAGGAGCTCCTTCGCTTTCTCCTCGACGGGTTACAGGTTGTCGTAGGAGGTTCAACACGTTCCTTCTCACGTCTTGGAGCAAGGAGGGTTTGATGCGTCCCAAACGAGAGCCGCCCTGGCCGTACGATGACAAAGACTTTGAAAAGAGAGCCATCGCTGAGCAGGTGTGTTGCCTCGTCGCTTCCACTCCAGCCCTCCATTTGGCGGTCCTATTCAATGGAGGAATATGAACGAAAGGAATGTTGATGGAATGAGGCGAAGCTGATAGATTATGATAGATTACGATAGATTATGCTTCTCTGGATGTTGGTGTGATGTTTTTGCAATCGACGTGACGTGTCAAAGTTTTCCATTGGCGAAGTCGAAAGTCTTGCAATGTCATTGACATTCTGACAGTCCCGGCGGATGTGGGAAAACTACTTGGCTAGGAACAACTCGCAGATCACCGACATCTTCTGCGGACAGTTGCGCTCTCGGGTGACGTGTGCGACATGCAAGAGGGTAGGAGAGGTGGTTGGGTTGGAGCTGTTGGCTGACTCGTCTGCAAATAGGAATCGAATTGTTATGATCCCTTTATGGACTTGTCATTGCCGATTCCGAAGAAATTTCAGGTCAACAATTGAGTTGCAGTGGTTCATCATTTTGTTCATCATGGTGACGTAGGGACTGTCCAAGTGGCGGTCGAGTGCGCAAGAGTGTAAACTACAAGATTGCCTCGAGCAGTTCGTGGACGAGGAGAAACTTGAGGGGAATGAGATGTACTATTGCTCGAGGTGTAAGAAGCATCAGGTGGGTAGACAGAACCATGCTTGGTCTGCATTGAGCGCTGATGTTGTGTATCTCGTTGTTCATCAGGTTGCCATCAAGGAGATGAAGATATTTCGTTGCCCCCTCGTCCTTGTCCTCCACCTCAAGAGATTCGACAAGCGTTCTTCCTCAAGGTCCAAGCTCAACGCCTCCGTTCGCTTCCCCACAGCCTCCCTCGAGCTCGCTCCCTACATGTCGTCCGATAGCCCTGACCTCTCCACCTCCACCTTCGATCTCTACGGTGAGACTTCTCTGTATGAGAACGAGGAGGATGACGGCAGGTTTCAGGGATTTCGCAACATTCAGGCTCTTTGGACGGAGGGCATTATATCGCTCATTGTAGAAATTTCGATGACGGTCTGTGGTACTGCTTCAACGACACGTACGTAACACAGCTCCACCCCTCCAACTTCCCTCTCCTCTTCTTTCTCTCCTCTTGAACCTTGCTGTCTGCATTATAATCTTCTGCTCCGGTAGGCGAGTAACCAAAGTTGGATCTTCACCGCCAGTGGACGAGAGCGCCTACTTGCTCTTCTACTGCAGGAGGGCGTGAGGAGGAGGAGGGAGGATTTGATGATGTTATTTACTGATTATTCTTTCAACAAAGTAATGCGGATTGTTCACTGCAGAGCCTCTCTCATTCTCTCACGTGATTGTTTCAGCTGACTCTCTTTCTTTGCAAAGTCTGGCAGGAAAACTTTCAGAGACAGAAAGGAAGCATGTCATATCTCTTACCTCCCATCAGATCCTCGTCGCTCCCCCACACCCACACGTTGCCCTCCAAGTCGGAGGCTGCGAACTCAACACTGACATGGTGTGAGCGCCTTTGAGTAACAGATGAAGGGATGAGAGGGAGGTTGGGGAGGGGGGGGATAAGGACTGGAGGGAGGAAGAAAGGGCAGGGCAAGAAGGGGGAAAGGAGGAGAAAGAGAAAGAGGCAGGTTCTGCAAGTTCACCTCTTCGAAGTCTTGCCCGTCAACTTGTTACAGGCAACGAGGTTGAACTCGATCTGCGCGCTCTGCAAGCTGTTGCCGACGCTTCTCTGACTCAGCAGTCGCCCGTCCTCTACTCGACAGATGCCGACCTGCCCCCCCTGCATGGGATGCATCGTGTAGGAACTCGCGCTGTCCATTGCGAAGTTCGCGTCGATCAGCTCGCCGTTGAAAGATGGAGAGCTGAAGGGAAGCTCGTAGCTCGAGAGCAGGGCGCCGCCTGCAATGAGGAGGTGAGGGAGGACAGGGGCAGTAGGAGATCACTTGAAGCAGAGAAGACGTGATGGCTAATCTTGGGAGATGGACGATGCCTGCCAACAAAAGAAGAGCCGAACTCTGCTACGATGGTGGAGTTCTGCAAGGCAAGGTGAGGAGGTGGAAGCTGAAGAGGTTGTTGTTGTTGTTGTTGATGATGATGATGATGATGATGATGATGATGATGATGAGGAGGAGGAGGAGGAGGAGGAGGAGGAGGAGGAGGAGGAGAGGTACCGCATAGTTGTAGATGGCCTTGTCAGGGCATCGCCTGCCTCCTCGGACAGGATCGTGAACTCGCAAGGTAGAAACGACCTGAAAGCGATTTAGACAACAGGAGCAAGACAAGCACGAGAAGCTTGACCTGCTGCTGCCGCAAGTCCCAGATGACGGAGCTTTGAGAGCCGAGCACAAACAGTTCTCTGCTGTTGGGGTGGAACTGCAAGCTCTTGATGCTTCCTTTGATAGTGCTCGATCGCTTCAGCATCATGCATGGAGCCTCCTGCCGATGATCCCTTCCTCACAGTATCAGAGACAGACGATCTCTTCTCCTCCTTCCCCCTCTCCTCACCAGATGGGTATGAAGTTTTCCTTCTTGCCAACCGCAAACATTGCCGAGGTAGCGTAGTGCGAGCATCCCAACCTGGCCGTCTCGTCGTCGCTCGCCTGCTCGACGTCTGCTGGGCAAGGGAACGTGTACTTGGAGACACACTTGGCATTGACCAGGTCGAACATCGCCACGTCCCCGTCCTCAGAGCATGCGCTACAACTAAGTCAGAACCTCAACACCGCACACGACCCTGTACATGGCATGATCAAGCTCCATCATCCTCGCATCTGCAAGCTCCATGCTTCCAACTTTCACTATAGCAATACATTCTCCTTCCCCTGCTCCAACAGACCAAAGTCTGATGGTGTTGTCGATGGAGGCAGTGAAGATGTGTTCGCTACAGCTGGAGGAGGAGAAACAGGGAGACTTGGGGATTATGTCGAGGTGCAGGAGAGGACTGCGATGACCTCGCAAGCATGCCACAACTCCACAGTTGTCTAACTTGACCTGCATACAGTTGTCAAACAAACTCAAACCACCTTCACTCACCGAAGTAGCAGCCTCCAGCATTGTTCTCCTGCTAGACAGGTTGCCTTCTTCCTGTCTTCGCATGAGCTGCATCAGACTTGACTTCTTGGTGGTCAAACAGTTTTCTGTCACTCTACGAGCCTTCAGACTTAGCTCCCGAGCCCTTCCGACGAGCTCGTTCTGTTCAAATGTGCCAATGGTTGGCATTCCCATATGAGATTTCTTGGCAGAAGCTTCGCCTCCTTTGGCATGCTGATGATTTCTCTTGTGTACGATGTTTTCATTCTCATCTGCTATTCTAGAAGGATCATCCATGTCTCTGCCCTTGAGCTGGTATCCCTTCTTCTTCGCCTCTCTCCGCAATGTAGAGCTGGTCTCGTCGAACCCTAAGTTGACCAGCAGTTCATGCAAGTCCTCAAGAGCAAGTTGGGTACCCCCGGTGCCTGTCTGTCTCTTCGCTTTCATCATCAGCATGTTTATCCTGCCATCCTTGTCGCCGCTCGTCCAGTCCTCCATGCCTCTGCCCTCCTTGCCCATCGTCTCTCCGATTCCTACAACGGCCAAAACTCTTGTGGCCCTCATCCCACCACACCCCTCAAAACTCTGAGGCAGGCTCTCCTGCAGCCTTCGCTCTATAAATCAGCGGACTCCCGCCAGCGGACTCCGCAATTTCCGAGGAGCGGACATCGACTGACTCGTGCTGGCGAAGGGAGGTGTACGTCACCATCGCAAACCTTATCATGGCACACGGCAGACGGTAAGGCTCCGAAGTTGAAAGTCAGTCGGAACTCAAGAAAGCAGGCCGCGAGGTGCTCGCCTTGTCAAATCGATGGGACTCTGATTCTCATTCATATCACAATCTCTTCAACGGCAATTGAGCCCACTCGTCGAGATAATCCGATGATCTGTTTCTTTCTTCAATAGTCGCACATGTAAGTTCAACTAGTAAGCGCTTTAAATCAGCTTCTGCAATTCTTGGTGGACATGCTCCTTCTTCAGCTGCTGCTGCTTGAGCCTTCTCAACATCGCCTTGGACATCTTTGCTTTTCTGCTTCCAGCAGCTCCTTTCCTGTTGACGTGCAGCAGCTTGACCTTGAACAGCAGGGTGGCGTCAGGGGGGATGGGTCCTCCCGGGGTTCCTCGGCTGCCGTAAGCAAGCTGTGGAGGGATGTGGAGCATGCGAACTCCGTTGAGCTTCATGCCCTGAAGACCCTGATCCCAGCCCTTGATCACCTGCTCCATCATCAGCTACCTCCTTCTCATCACTCTCTGCTTGCCTGTCCAGCTCCAACCACAAAGGAGATCTTGCCGGAGTCAAACAACTTTCCGTTGGTGAGCTTGCCGGTGTAGTGGACCGTCACCTTGTCCCCGGACTCGACAGCGTCACCCTCCCCTGCTGGATGTCGGTGACCTCGAGGCCATCGCGGAGGATCTCAGTGTAGATCTTGCGGTTGAACTTTTTGGTGAGGCCTTTGTCGAATCTGACGGTCTCCTTCCCAACGAAAGGAACACCTGAAGGCCCACGCTTGAGCTGAAGCAGCTCCTGCTTCTGAAACCTCACAGTCAGTCCTGGGTTACTACATCACCTCTCGTCACTGCACACAAACCATCACAAGGCTCATCAGGCTCATCCACTTGTCTTACGAACAAACGTTGACAACAAGATTACAGAACAAGATCATCGGAGAGAAGATGAGTGATAACAGGCATCTTTCTGCTTCACCTGCTTCATGGTCGCCATCATCAGCAGACCGATAGCGACCGCTGTCGCCATGGAACCAATCCAGACCGAAGGCTTGAGCGGCATGTTTCGGTAATGACTCTTCGCAGATTGTGAGGGGATGAGGGCTACTTTGGATCTGAGGCAGGCTTGACTGAGATGAGCCTGAAAATCCCAGATGTGATATAAGCCATCAATGCCCATCGTTGTGATAGTTTGGTCGGGGATGTAGCTAAGTCTCTTGTTGTTGTTTGAGTTCATCCTTGTCTTGATCGATCCTTTGGTTGCTGGTGTCAGGATCTGCCAGCTTGAACTCGTACGTTTCTAACTATCCCTCGCGCTTCACCCTTCTTTCCCTCAAAAAGTTTCCCTGTGCTTGCTCTTTTTGAATGTTTGGTTTCCAGATCTCTACATTCCTCTATAGAGGCTTTTCGCTGGTCTCACCTGCCCAACATGATCATGTTGCCTCGTCAGATGTGCCATGTCTTCCCTCGTCGGCGACTCCTGCTGCTCTCCCTGCTCTTCCAACTCCTTGACGTAAATGCATGGATGTTCACACCGCCATCAAGCATGCTCGAGCACCAACGTGCCATCTTGCCTCTTCAGCGAGCGAGATCAGACAGATGCAGCGGGGCAGCAAACAGACTTGAGTTGCTGATGACGATCGAGGCAGGGAATGTGCGCAAAGTTCGACTAGGTAACATGTGTAGAGCACATCGCCCTCTCGTTCCTGATCGGAGTCACTGAATTTCCTCCTCCAGCAGCCCTTGTCCCTTTCTCTCTGCCCTTATCCCTTCCTCTCTGCTCTTGTCCTTCTTCTCACAGAGGATCTGAAACATGCGGCAGGTGCTGGTACCCTCGAGGTCTCAGAGATAGGATGCGGCACCTTAGCATGGGGAGAGACTGGAATGGGCTTCGGCTCCTACTACACAGAGACGATCCTGTCACAGGTGATGGGCGGGGAAGGGGGAGGAGAAAGAGCTGAGAGAGGAGAAGGCGTTTAAGGAACTGGTTGAGGGAGGTGTGAACTTGATCGACACCTCGGAAGTCTACGGGTGAGAAGGGAAGCATGACGGTTCCTGCCTTGTCATGATGACTGCAGACGCGCGTCGATGAGGGAAGGTAGTAGCTCGGAGCAGCTGATTGGTATTATCTTCTGCTTCGTATATACGATCTCTTGATGAGAGTCCAGCCAAATTCCGAGATCAGCTTCCCGTCGATGCTCCTCCTGTCGTCCTGAGCTCCAAGTTCTTCCCTGTAGGGTTTTACCTTCTCCATCGCTTCCTCACAGTGACAACTGGCAGGCTCCCTGGTCCAACACTTTGGTAGGAGGGGGAGTGAGGCTGGGGAGGAAAGCGGTAATTGAGGAGAGGAGAGGAGAGGAGAGGAGAGGAGAGAAGAGCGGGGAGGGAAGAGGTTGAGGATGCGATGACTGGTATAATTGAGCAGGTTGTGGAAGCAATTCGAGGGTCGATCACGCGATTGGGTTGCGGTCAGATTGACTTGTAAGAGTTCATCATGTCAGCATGTTTTCGACGAGGGTTGACAAAACTCGTAGATATCAGATGCAGTTTCCCTTTCCTTACCTGGGAGGTATGACTTTGCCTTGTCGCTTATTTCATGCCTCTGCTCCTGCTCTTAATCGCTTTAGGCCCGACTTAAAACTTCTTGCAGGCCAGCAAGCTCTGCTCGAGGGGTTTGCCGAGGCTGTTGATTTTGGACTTTGCAAATCCGTTGGTGTCTGCAATTTTGACGTCAACGAAATTCAAGAAGCTCACGCGGTTCGTTCCTCCCCTCCTCCTTCTCCTTCCCCAGTGGTGAACGTTACCCTTCCTGCCTCTGACCAAGCTTCCATGCCCTGTCTCTTTATCCGCCTTCTTCTACTCTACCTCTTGTTCTTTTACCTCTGATTCTTTCTCGCCGAAGATTCTCGCCAAGCATGGAGTCCCTTTAGCGTCAAATCAAGTTCGGTTCAATGTTCTTGGTTGCTTCGTTTCTTCTCCGACTGTTCTAAAATTGCTGATGGCACTTTGACAGATCGCAGAGTGCAAAAGTCAGGCCTGATGAACGTTTGCAAGTAGGTTCATCATCATCATCATCATCATCATCATCATCATCATCATCATCATCGTCATCATCTTCATCCATTCATTGTTATTGTCATATCCGCTGCCTTCACACGTTCGCCTCATTCATCTTGATATTCTCTTCACTTCCATCCTCACAACTTTGACTTGACCCACAGAGAAATGGAGATATCCGTCCTAGCCTACGAGCCACTAGCAAAAGGTTTCTCTTGCCTTCCGTCCCTTCTTTCACTCCGAAGTCCCTGCCGTCTCCTGCTCCTCCTCCTCTGCTTCTGTTGCAGCTCTCCCGTTCCTCAACTTCTTTCTTCCTTGCACTCGACTACTCCGCGCTCGCACGCCTCCTCTCCTCGTCCTCTCTTACAAGACAAGCTCTCCTTTGCCCGGCACACACTCCCTCTCAAGTTCGAGGCCCAGGTCTGTTGACCGGCAAATTTCACGAGCATCAGCACCAAGACGGACCGCAGCCGACGAGCATGTAGGAGGAGGAGGAGGAGGAGGAGGAGGAGGAGGAGGAGGGCGAGGACGAGAACTAGGGGCAGGGGCAGGGGCAGGGGCAGGAGGGGACTACCTGCCACGAAGTTCTTGACCTGTCACTCACCAGGTTCTCTGACTCAGAGCTCCTCATCTGCCGTCCCATCATGAACCTCCTGCGGCTGCTGGGGGCGTTCGAGGGAGGCAGGACGACAGCGCAGGTGGCGGGGGAGAGGATGTGACGTCAGCAGCGGGGCAGCTTGTCTGACCCGTCCTACCATGCAAGGTGGCTCTCAACTACATCATATCCAAGGGCGCCATCCCGATTGTCGGGGTCAAGAACGTGGGGCAGGTGACGCGGCAGGACCGTTGGTTTTGTTCCTGACATGCTGGGAAGGCGAGGGAGGTGATGGGAGCGGCTGGATGGAATCTCAGCGACAACGACCTGAAGGTGACGCCTGCTCTCCGGCTTCTTCCCAGCTCTCGTCCTCGTCCTCCTGCTCAGGTCTCGCAGATCCTAGACGAGCGACTTGTGGAGATGGACGCAGAGATGCAGAGGCAGGACGTGCAGTCGACGTTTGGAGACAAGCGAGGAAGCTTCCTGGGGTGTCTCGGTGAAGTCAGCCTATCACCGTCGTCTCTCTGCTGACCGTCTTCGTGGCAGAGGAGCTCAGGTTGGGGGAGATCTTGTCAAATTGAAACTGATGGCAGCAAGTTTGACCCGCTCGCGTCACTGTGTAAAGTCTGGGCACAGTCACTGTCAGGGTCAAGCCTACTCGACTCCCCTGATAGTCCTGAGTCGTACTGATTTTAACTTAACTTTGAGTGAAAGTCTAGCCCGACCGTATGACTGAGACGGTTCGGGTCCAGTAGTACAGCCTTCAGCCTTCAGCCTTCAAGCAGCCTTCCGAGCCTCGGAGCGTTCACCCTTCACCCTTCCGAGCCTTGACAGTGGCGGCCTTGCCAGGAGCCTTGAGCCTACAGCCCGGCCTTCTGAGCCTTGAGCCGCTTCCGAGCCTTCATGGGTTGGCCGGGCCCATCAAGCCTTCGCCGGTCCGCCGTTTCTACTACCGGGCAGTGACCCAGGCTCGGACTCCGGAGCATTTTCAAGAGTGCCGGCTCAGTTGAAGTTCTGTTGTATCATGTGGCACGGGGCCCCCGCCTGCGGCCGGGCACCGATATCTCCCTATGATCACCCTACCCCCTATTTTATCTTTGATTACCCCCCATAATCCCTTTTAGTACCCCCCAGTCATAATCCTTTATACCTCTACAGTGGTAAAGCAATGTGACATCCCCACCACTTCTGATCAGTCACATTCAATTGTATGGGTAGGGGTTATTATACTCGGCGATACATTCTATCACTAGAGGGGCAGAAAGATGTAAAATGTGGGGTAGGGTATAAAGAAGTGGGGGTAGGGGTAACTACCCATGGACTTGCACAAGTGCTGATCCGCCTGATCGTGCGACCCCCTCCGCCTCATAAAGGGATCTAAATTATTTTTGAACCCAAAGAGTACCAGAGTCCTCTTTAAAAATAAACTAAAAAACAAAACTAGATTTAGAGAATATATAACTCTATTAGAGAGCAATTCAGGCCTTTTAAAACTGAACTAAATTGCTATAAATTATATATTATTTTAATTTAAGATCAAAGGGATGTAATCAAATTGTTTAGCTTTTTTTTCAATACAATATAACAATACAATATATATTTTGTCTCAATATTTTAAAATAACTAAAACGTATTTATATTTTCCCCTCACAAATCTCCCATGCATTCCCTTTATATATCCCAAAGCCCCAAGAACCCTTTCCGTGATTGTACCCTACCCCCGCCGTATGGTACCATACCTTCTGATTCTCTACCCCGCACAATAAGACAGCTGGGTTCTTTTCAACTGGATGCTTTCTCACACCCGTCTTTCCCCACCTTCTTGTATGGCTAAGTACCCGGTACTCTACCTCAATTTGCACCCCCTGTAATTGATTTCCAGTGGGATTACTACCCCTACCCATCTTTATTCACGACTTACAGGCCCCTACCCCCTTGTGGGGGAACTGCCTACCCCTTACACACCCTTGCTCCCGCTCCCGTTGCTGGTTTCTTTCGCGATCTCGATCTGCTACTCCTGGAGCTGATACGGTTCCGATCACCTCTCAACGACTCGAACTCTCCCCTCTCCTCCTTCCAAAGCTCTTCCTCCACGTTGTTGCGCTGCTGCCTCCCCGAGTCGAGCTTTATCAGACCCTACCAGCTCTAGTCCCTTGGTCCTTGCCAAACGCAGCCCATCTCATCCTCCACTTGCCTTGGTTCCAGTGACTTGGGCGTATTCTCGAGCATGCAAAAAGAAACAGAACACCTCCCTTGAGAACTGAGCACAATTGCAACAAGAATCAAACTATGATTGGATGGAACGGGGTCCACCCGATCAAACCAGTTCCAACCACAAGAATTCAAAGCAGCATGAGTGAGACAGTCGTCGAGCCGTTTTGGGGCATGGTAGAAATCTCGTGCTCCTGCTTCAGACTTTGACTGATACATCTCATCTCAGCCGCCGTTTCGCAATCATCATCAAGCAATCTTGCCACAGGCAGGAGGAGCCAACATCTACGTACCTGGGTAGAGAGCGTGAGCCTAGCTTGAGGATCCTTTGACGGTCTTGACAGGGCGAACATGCAAGCTCCGAGCATGCTTAGGTAGAAGCTTCATCTGCTCACCGCCTAGAGCTCCTCTCGAAGGAGCTGACGTGATGGCAGGTTGTCGGGGGACGGCGAGGTCTCGGACGAGGACCCTAACGGGCACGATCTCGGCTTCCTCTCTTTGTCTCAGGATATCCCAGCAACTGCCGAGCAACCTGCCATGGCAGGCGGTCAGAAACGACCGCGAAGCTCCTTGCAGGATGCGGTGCAGCCTATGAACGGCTTCAGCACGAACGCCGCGAACAACGCGAACACAGGTGCATGAAGAGACTGAGGGAGGGGCGGGAGGAGGAGGAGGAGGAGGAGGAGGAGGAGGAGAAAGACTTGACTATTTGATCTCCTTTTTTCGCAGGATTTGTGAACAAGTCGCATGAGAGGAGGTGAGACGAGATCAAAGAAGTCTTTAAGTTGCTGATTCTGTTGCTTGCAGTCCGTCCATCCTTACGGAAGACAGGAATGGAGTGAAGAGGCGGAGGGGTAAAGTTGTCTTCTCCTCTTCCTCGTGGCCTCATGTCCTCTACAGGTCGACCAGTAGGATCAAAAGATCGCCAACCACGTGTGAAGCGCATGGTTGACACTCCTGAAAGTACGCAGACTGTCCTCCCTCCTCCCTCGCCCACTCCTGCCCTACTCCCTCTCTCTCTCCCTTCCTCGTTTTTCCACATCTGTCTTTAGCCTTCATATTCCGCCTCTTCCTTTCAATCTTTCCTCCGTCCTTTCTTCCTCTCCCCACACCCTTGCTGTTCTCCTCCTCAAAGTCTCCCACAGAGCAAGAGAGCGAGACGACGTCTGAGGCAGGAGTAAGGAAGAAGCCTTGGAAGATCATCCTCACAGCCGAGCAAGCCATCGAGATCTACCAGAAGAGGCCCAAGAGCGATTCTTCTCTTACCACCTCCAGCTGCCGTTCCAACGAGGTTTCTTCTTCTCTTTCCTCCTCCTTCGCCTTCTTCCTCTGTCTCCCCCCCCTCTCCTCCTCCTTCTCCTCGTCCTCCTCCTTACTCCCTCTTCTTCCGCCGCCTCCTACCAACATTCTCTTTCAGGTTGCCGAGCAATATGGGGTCAACTCTAAGACCATCAGGGACATCTGGAACAGGTCCAAACGCTGTTTCCCTTCTCCTCATCCCAAACACCATCCTCTTTTCTCTCGCCTTCCCTTCCACCTCCTGCTTTCTTTCTCCTTCCCTTGCCACCACCTCCTCTCTTTCTCATTCTCTTCCTCATGTTATGATTTCTTTCTTGCTCTCCTTTCCCTCTCGTTCCTCCGTCGGTGGGGCTAATGACAATATCAGGGCTACGTGGGTCAAGGCCACTCGAGAAGTTTGGACGGCAGAGGAAGAAGCCGAGTACGAGGAAGCGCAGATGTTTGAGAATCGGTTAGCCAACTCCTCTCCTCCTCCTCTCCTCCTCCTCCCTCGGTCTCTGGGTCTCTCGCTTTCCCTTAGTCCCTTGCACTCCTTCCTTCCCTTCGCTTCTCGTCTCTCTTCCCTTCCTTTTCTTCCGTGCTTCAAGCACCTCTCCTCCTCTCCTCCTCTCCTCCTCTCCTCCTCTCCTCCTCGTTTTCATTCTTGTGTCTTCTCGTGACGAGCTTGCAGCGAGAGAAGCCAGGAGGCCTCAAGCGGCAGCAACACGGTGAGTCAACTTTTGCGCAGGGGGAGGGAGAGAGGAGGAGCTGAGGGTCCAGCAGACCCTGGAGCAAGATGGGAACAAGAGGGTCAGGGGACGACCCAAGGGAGCCAGAGACTCGCGTCCTCGGGGCAAGAAGAAGGTGGGAGGACGTCACTTCCTGCTTCTCTTCTCCTCACAGGCAGCGGCAGGACGGGTGGGAAGGAGCTGAGGGAAATGAATCCGAACAGCCCATGGTACTCAATATGAACCCTCCTGCTCACTCGGCGATGGCCGGACTGAATGTCAATCGCCTGCTCTCCTACCATGAGTCGAGCCCCATGCCAAGGTGATTTCCTCCTTCCTCTTGCCCCTCTCCTCTGCTCTGCTCTGCTCCCCTCTCCTCTGCTCTCCCCTCGTCTCCCTGCCCTCCTCTTCAATTGACAACGAACTTTACAGCTTGGCGGCTCGGTCAGTCGGCAGCTCAACGACGTTGCAACAAAATAGCGACAAGACGAGTTCGAATGCCTCCCATTCGCAGGTGCACAAACACCACCATCACATCACACCACCACCACCACCTCCTCCTTCCTCTTCCTGCTCCATCCTCCTCCTCCTCCCCTACTTCCTCCCTCCTCCTCCCCTACTTCCTCCCTCCTCCTCCCCCCCTCGCGTTTCACTATGTTCCGGTCTCCCAATCGTCTCCCCTCTTCTCCTCCCTTCCTTGCCCCTCTCATCTTTCTTTGCATGTTGCCTGCTGCTGACTGGGCACTTCCAGTCCTCTTCCTATCAATCTGACGAGAGTGCCAATGGCTCCGGTATCTTCTTTCGCTTCCTCTTCCTCCTCCTCGCTCACCGCTTTCTCTTGCTCAGACGGCTCTGGCTCCGGAAGCTCTCCTCTTTTCCCCTTACACGGGAGCAAGCGCTAGGTACCTTCATCCTCATCTTCACCTTTTCTCTTGCCTTCCCTCCTCCCCTCCCCTCCTGCTCTCCTCCTCCCCTTCTGCTCTCCTCCTCCTCGTGCTTCTCTTCTTTTCTTTGTTGCTGACGTTTCTATCCAAGGCAAGACGCGATGTTCTTTCCTCAGCAGCAGCAGCAGTTGGAGTTACGAACCCCCTATCCTGCTCCTCTACCTCCCGGTGAGCCTCCTTTCCTCCGGTCTAGCGAAGCTGACGAGCTTCCTTAGCAGCTCAGAGCAACCAAGCTCGTCCTCTGGATTTCCAGGCGCAACAAACCTGTCAGCTTCAACTCTTTTCTCTTCCTCTTCTCTCCTTTATTCCAACTTTATCATCATCTCCTCTTCCTGCTCCTGCTCCTGCTCCTGCTCCTGCTCCTGCCTCCCTCCCCCCCCTCTCCCCCTCGACCTGATTGATCGATCGCAGTCGCCAGCGCTGGCAGTGCATGGATGAGTTATCCTCCTCCTCAGCCCCAGGGGAATTCAGTATTCCCTCAGCCTTA